ATTATTACTCATTTTCATTTTTGATTAATAGAATTAATATACGCAACAGTGCAAAGAGTGGAAATCCTAGTTGAAAGCTAGGAATAAAATAATGACAAGAGAAGTGATTTTCTTAACGGAAAATGGCAAACTGCCAATTTCATAATAATCTAAGATTGACGAATTCATATAAAGCTTAATCTAAAAATAGAGCAATTACTTCACCGTAAAATTCATCGAAAATTATTTCTCCTGTCAAAAACAAATCTTACCATGACAATAGATGTGCAAGTGAAGTTCAGATTGAGTGCTTTAAAATTTATGCACACTCTTTCATGTCGCAGAATTATATTTACGGCGAAATCAAGTTTCTTTTCATTTTAAATCTGAATGATTACATTTTAGAAACATCTAAAAATATGCTTGAGACTTGGTTATGCAGGCATGAAGTTTTTTTTTTTAATTGTCAACATGACGTTGACTACTGAAATTAGATTTAAATTTGATTTATAGATCGTCCTGTGAGGAAATAATGCCTGCATTCTTTTATCTTACGGTAAAATGTATCCTATCGCTATGAGTTCTGGTGTTAATCAGCAACGTAGCATTAATCGTTGTATCTCAATGTGCAGTTATAATATTATAAGAAACTATTGAGTTTATGAGAATATTTAATTTTTTGAATTCATTTTACTTAATGAAAATGCCACTTTTAACTACTTGAGATTGTCGTGAACAATAAAAAACTTCATTAGTAGATAAAATAATATCCTGTGTTGTTAGAAATACAGTTTTTATATGTTAAATCTGTTGTTTCGTGAATGTCAACATGCATCAATTTTAAAAAAAAGTCATATATTTTATGAAATTTATCAATAGACTTAGCCTAACTACTATATATTATCTTTTTAAATAATGTCGATAATTCTAGACGATTGCAAAAATTATATTTCACTTCAATAATTTGACAACATGCGAGGAGAAACATCGAAATCGATGGAACGTTGAAGCGTTATTCCGGACCGGAAGGTCTGCAGAATTTTCTGATGATATACGATCTTTTCCGGTCGGAATAACATGAAATTGCTGAAACCTTTCGATTCAAGTTGTAGCTTCAGAATTCCATCGCTTGGCAATGTTTTCCTGCCTCCCCGTGTCGCTCAAACCGCCCAGTTAACCGGATGGTTAACCGAACGGTTAATTACGGTTCTTCAGCTAAATTCTTTTCTGTATTAGAAAGGGTGAAAATGTTTAAACTCTTAGAAAATCGTTCAAAATATGCCAAAACCGCGAACCTCATATAATTGCAACGCGCTGAAGCCGCAGGTATTAGCCATATTAACTACAATCACCTAGTTTTCGAGTTTACGATTTATTAAAGATGGCACTATAAAAATAGTTGTTTCATTCATAACTTAGCCAACAGGAAAATTAACTAAGACATATCAGAGAATGCACTATGGAATAATTATTTCGATTTTTGTGAGTTGCAATCCACTATTGATGGACTAAAAATATTAATTTAGAAGAAAAACTATTAGAAATGCGCTAAGCGACGCGAAACTGCACTGAACCGGCAGTAAGCGACGGTTCTAATGAAAAATGAGCGACATGTGTCAGTAAAGTCGTACTTCTTGATCTCAGACCAAAATCGTTCAGTCATATTTCTGATATTGTTATCAATCGGTCATACTTTGTTATCAGAAAAATTGAACTCTTTTAGAATAAAATCAAATCAAAGAAGAAATCTTTACCAATATTAAATATCAAATATCAAAGTCTAACAAGTAGAGAAACTTCATTTATCATTAGTATATATATTGAGAGATCCTTCACAATATTTAATCAAAATAGTTTGATCTGAAAATATCTATTAGAGAGCTTTCCTGAAAGAATTCTCCATTGCTGTTATTTAAGAACAGATAATGAGAATTAAATCGCTTCGAACAAATTTTGTGCTTTTGCCTGTTGTTTACTAGATCGAGTAGATCTAATAAGCTCGAATGAAGATATTCTCAGTGTTTAAGGACCAGCAATCATGATGGGATAACTGAATTTCAATAGGTAGATCAACGTTTTCATATAGTCAGTAGTTCTAGTAATTATCTATAATGTGATGCTTTGCAAGAGTTAAAACAAAAAATAAAAGTCTAGGAGAATTAATAGTAAATTTGAGCTTGAATTCATTTATTACTGTACATAGTCATCGAGTATTAAAGTTTTGCGAGAGAAAGTCAATTAACTGAAAAGCTATGAGCCTAAAGGGTATATATGAGTGGCATAGTAGTTGACAAAGCTTGAAAAAAAACTGTTAAAATTATATAACCAACACAATATTGTATCATCGTGTTTCAAATAGACAACTATTTTCTAATCGTGCTGTTCGTAGTTTTCGGAGTTGGAGTTATGTCATGTATTTAATAAATCAATATTTAAATAAAATGCACATTATTTGAACCAAATAAATGAAACTATCAGTGAGCATTTGATTCCTGTTAGATCAACAGTCACACTTCCGACTATAATATATAATTATATAGCTCATAATCTACATCGTTAGTCTGTTTATTGAAGTTTACTAATATGTTAAGTACGAATTTTTTTCTATTCACTTTCTGAAAGTAAATCAATTTTTTTTTTAAGATTAGCAAATCTTTTTTTCTAATGGAAATGCTTTGAAAATGTACTGTCTCGTTCTTCAGTTTACATTCATCACATGTAAATAGAATAGAAATTTTAACTTCTTCTACCGGCATAGCTGCACATGCATATTTTTTCTATTCGTCACTAATAGCGGAACAGAGAGACAAGCCGGCATAACTAGCCGATAAAAATTCACACGTTATTGTCGATTTCATCATTAGTAAAGAATAGAAAAACAATTCTATACTGTATATATATAGGCCGCTTTTCCAATAGAAAAAAGTTAAAATTTCCATTTTATTCTCTATCTTATCTTATTTCCATACGAACAAAATGAATTGAAGGAGACAGCAGATCTCGGAAAACATTTTTATTAAAAAAATGAATAAATCTAATATTAATCATTTAGAAAAAAAACAAGAGAAGCCATTATAACTATATTTATAATAGCAAGTTTTCTTGACGTCACAAAAATATTCTATTATACGAACACGCTCATTAAGACTTGAGGGTAAATCAGTGTAGATTAAGAATGTTTCCTGTTGAGAAAAAAGTTAACTTTACGTGAGTAAATAGAATTTAGATGAAACTTTCTACAAATTTCTGATTTAACGAAGTCGACTAATAGAAAAATTTATCCTTCGTTACCCTACTGTTTGAAAATCTTTACGCGAGCTAGACCATAACTAAACTGTTAATGCATGAATTCTTTTACCATGCATCGAAGTATACGACTGAATAAAACTTCTTTTCCGAATGAGCTATTTATTTAGAACTTTAGTACATAACAAAAGCTGTTGCAATAAGATGAAATTCACTAACAAATTTCAGTTCAGTTAAAAAAGTTCTTTTCTCATCGAAATTAATATGACGCTCTTCATAAATAAATCGAACAGTATTCTACTACCTAGATCAAATCCGATTGAAACGAAGAATATGTGACAATGAATCCGTAAACTATAGCTATTTTTTATTTATCTATCTGTAGATATCAACATGGAATTTTAATGATGTATATATTAATGGCAAAAACTCATCGATTGCCCTAGAATTGTGCTTGAATATATATATAGTTAATAGAAATTGAAGTTCTCATGGCGATTTGCCTGAATTCATTTAAGAATTTTATCATAGAAAATTTGAGAAATTCGAAATACATGCCTGCAGAGCTAGGTCAAAGCTCAAATGTTTTCTAATGAATATTTCAAATGAACACTTCAGGGTATACGTTTTTGTATCGAGCTCATATTTCTGATGATAATGAATTTTTTATCAATGTAGAGAAACCCCTTTAAGATAAATTTGGGTTTAATTGAAAACGACGATAACACTGCTTAATAGGATCATGACTATATCTTTACGCATACAAACTATATTACTTTATTTTTTCAATAATAACACAATGTAATAGCAATCTTTATTAATAATCATTTTGATCGTGATAATTTCCATAGACAGAAAACGGAATGTGATATACTCAAACAATAAGCATGTCATAAAAAAATATTAATTCTTTTGACCAAAAAAGTTCTCAACATGATTTGAGTGCAGCATGCCAAGATTTATGACATGGAAGTACTATAAAAATAGAAGAGAAATAGAAATATCTAATAAATCATGGTAAATGGGTATGACAAATAAATATTATTCAAAAATAAATAAAACGAACGTTCAGATCTACTTCATCTACCTAATGAATTCATTTATCTTAAAATTCAATGTGTAATTTTTGTAAGATTAGTTCTTGCCAGATTTGTTAATAGCTAATCAATTATGAACTACGCATAAGTATTTATATTTGTTTAGCTCGGGTTTTTTTTTTAAATACAAAAAAAGGACAGACGCGTTTGAACGGAATGAACTAAAGAGTAGGCGCAAAGTAAGGTGACGCATAAGAGCGAAGACAATATGAGATTTAACAAAAGAGAAGTAATAGTTTTAAGGAAAAAGGCTGAGACAATGTATATACTAGTCAGCGACGTTAAAAGAAAAAGAGATCAAATAGAGAGACAAATGTATCTATACAATGTTTTTATAACAATAAATAAAAAGAAGATATAACGAAGAGTAGAGAAAGAAAAGAGATTCCTTTTGTACAGACAATGATTTTTCGATGTTAACTACAGAAAAAAACTGAAAATACACAATTGGAATGAAAGGCACACGGAAAAAGAAACACAACAAGAAATATGTTCAAGATACACACACATCCATACATACATATATATATATATATGTGTGTGTGCAGGAACGTAATCGTATTTGGTACTACTACTGTTCAAATGGACAAAGTGTGCGCAATCGGGAGACAAATAATCAACACGACGACAAAAAAAAATAAAAATAAAAATGCAAGAAGCAAATCAGATCATTTGTTCTTAGAGGGATTCGACATAAGTAGCCGGGTAAAGGCCTATTCGATTACCAACACGTCCTTTACACCAACCTTGATCATCTTCATCTTCTATTTTTGTAAATATATCACCTAAAAGAGATCAGAAGAAAAATAAAGAACATATATAAAGAAAAATAGAATATATATATAATGAACTAACCTTGTTTAAATGAGAGTTCATCTTCCTCTTGTGCATCATAATCATACAGAGCTCGAACAGATACACCGGCACTACTATCAAGTGAAGAACCTTCTGCTGATGTTGGTGATTGATGCAACGGTTGATGAGATGATGATAATGAATCTCCGTTATTTATATCATCCTCTTCATAAAATGGATTTGCTGTTGGTGGATATGATGTTTGGTAAGCTGGTATGCTATTTGTTGGATATGCTGGTAACGATGAATGACCATTATTACTTGTGCCTGCTCCATAACTAAAATCATAAATATTTTAAAACATATATTTTATTAAATATGCATATAACAAACATCATACAAAAAGCATGCATCAACTGTTGTAACAGTTACAATAAATAAATAAAATTGTTTTTTTAGATATTGCATTGCAAAATAAAATAGTAAAAAGCTTAGCATAGCATCATCCGATGAGCGAATTCCCATTCTTTTTTAATAAAACATGACCTTTGTCGATTAATGATAAATGAGATTAAGAAAAAAAATGGAAATGTCTTTCTGTCAATGCTCAAAAACAAATGAGGAAACACGCAAAGCAAGTAAATGCAACATATCTTTAGTTTTCTTTACTTCTTTCTTTTTTTTTTCTATTTATATTCTTTCTACCCAAAGTTTTCTGTTTTGTTAATACTTGTCGATGCTTTTATATTCATTTTAAAATCAATTATAGTCCTTCTCATTGAAAGAATGTTCTTCGTCAAAGCAATTCATATCCAAAACAAGATAAATCAATTGATGACGTAGTATTACTAGACAACAGAGGAAACAAGCACATAAAACATACTGGTGAACGAGACAAATTGAATATATATTAATGAAGATGATGATGAACACCTACTCATTTGTCCAAGAATTAGCGGCCCAACTGGGTGATACGTCAGGTGGAGCTGAAGTCGGTTGATAGGCCGCCGTATAGGGCAAAGCTGATGCTGACTCAGCCTCTTCGTTGTATGCAGCATTGCTGATAGAGAATAAGGAAATAAAATTATAGAGTTTCGAAATAAGAAAACAAATTGAACGCATACAATTTAAACTCAAAGCTAATGTTTTATTCTTTGCCAAATAGAATTCGAATATGAAAATTGTCTTACTTAGTTGATGATCGATTATCAACGGGTGCAATATTTGATGATGGATTAGTATTTGATCGAATAGCCGTGACAACAACTGGATTTTCTTTGTCAAGATCGCCTTTAGCACGACGAGAAAGTGTACGTTGTGCTTCCGTATATTCCTAAAACAAATCCAATATATACATAAATAAACATAGACGTTTCGTCAGTTAGTAGCAGAAAATTTCTATGTTTATAATATATAACGTCAATATTAGTTAGTCAAAAAAAAAAAGATCGATAGAAAAACAAACCAAAGAACCAAACTATATAGTAAAATAAGATAAGTAAAGAATAAATATAGTAAAACCTATCGATACCCAAAGTAGAAAACGAAAAACAAAACAGATATTATCAGTAAGAGTGCAAAAATATACGCAAAGTAACCAATATAAGTTTTATATCTATAAGTGGGAGCCTAATTTTAAATATATTTATAATCTACTTCACGCTTGGCAAGATCTCGACGAACGCGTGTAACAACAGCAGCTGTTCGTCGCATCGATCGACGAATAGTTGCATAAGAATCGACAACCAATACTCGTGTATCATATGCAACAGTCGCACTTGTTTGACTAACAAAATGTGCTAATTGTCGACGATTATACGTATCATTACCCATTGATAAATCATTAGCACAATGAGAAAAACGATTTTGTTGTTGCTGATGAACTAGATTTGTTGATTCCTAAGGACGAGTAGTAGTAGAAGTAGTAGTAGTAAAGAGTGTATAATCGAAAAGTAGAAGCAAGATTAACAAGGTTTTCTTTTTTTTTTCTTATTTCGTAATCAAAGAATAGAAATAGATCAATTCAAGAAAGAAGCATTATTGACATAGAAGAAAATTTCATCAGTACATAAGCAAGACTAACATACCTCAAATGTAGGCCAATTCATTTTCATACCGGCACCATATATTTCCGACCACCATATTAAATCTTTATCAGCATCGCAATTTTTAATAATTTGAGAAAATTGTTGAAAATTTGCTGATCTTTAAAATAAACAAACAAACACGCAAATATTATTAATTCATTAATTAATACTGAAAAGTAAGATTAATTTTGTATGCAAAACATAACAAATCCTTATAGACAGAAAAAAGCACGAATCTAATGAGATATACTTTGACATACTGTAATCGATGGCTTAGATCAAGACATTTTTCAGTGGCACCGAAGAATTCTCGAAATTTAACAAGACGATCTTTTTCAAATGTTTGACACCGGGAGAAAACCTATTAGAAAAAAAGAAAGAAATGTAATCAATCATTGTCGATGATAATATTTAATACATACATCGTTCATATCATCCATATATTTTGGATTCGCTCGATTAAGTTCTTGAAGACCTTCATTATATTTAGTTTTAGCTGCTTCTTTTTCTTTTCGGCACTTGTCAAGTTTTTCTGTTGCTTTAGCGCGCTAAAATAATAATATTTTCATTGTAGAAACTGAAAAAAAAACAATTTTTTTTACTTGATCCAATGGTACAGATCCATCAAGCTTCGAATTACTTTCTTGTGTTTCGGCCATTTTAAGATTTTTTGTTGCCGTATGATAGTCACGTTTGTATTTATCAACCTTAACATATAATTTAGCCCATGGTTTTTGTGCCTGAAAAATAGTTCTAGTTGAATATTTTATTATTTAGTTCGAAAGAACAAACTCGTTTAAATTCTTCATCGAAATCTTTAGTTGGTTTAATATGCATCATAGATTTAACATATTTTGTTTTTTGCCATGATTTTATTGCTGGTATTAAATCATTTTGTAGTTCATCATTAACTGATTGATGAATTTCAGCTGATGCATCAGCTTCGCCCATTATTGCCTTCCAAGCTGTTGTCATTGACCCAAATTCCGATGCTATAAAAGTAAAAAGAAAAAATTTAATTAAAAAATGTGAATAAATTAGTTTTCTCGTACATTTGGCCACATAATCAGACCATTTTTTCGACCAACTTTTAAGCATTTTCGAAAATGCTTTTTCAAGCTCAGCTCTTTCATTGAGCATACTAATCAGATCAGATGTTAACTTATTTCCATCATCACACCGTTTTACTGCTCGATTGTATTTGCCAATCTATTCAAATTTTAAATATTAAAACGAATAAAAATAAACAAGAGAACGTTGGTTTCTTTTTTTCATTTATCATATTCAATACGTACTTCCCAGAATGAATCTGTCTGTGGTAAATAAAGATCATTTTCCATATTAGTTTTTTCAATGCTTCCTGTCTCCATGATGGACTTATGGATGGATAAAAGAATAAAAACAAATGAAACGATCTAAAATACATGATACTTTACAACTAATTTACAGACACAGAAAAAAACCTGATCTCCGTTTGAACAATACAAGGTATCAAATATCTACACTTTGATTTCTTGAATAATCATCGAAAGAGAAAAAAAACACGATGCAATGAAATAAAATAAAAAGTTAAATCATCATGTAATCCGTTGGTAAATGTTGATACATGGAACGTCACCAACACGTTCACAACAACATATAAACACTTCTATTGTTGTGTCGTATAACCAAAGACGAGAAGAAAAAAGAATAGCTAGCTGTAAAACATACACGGCTTCATCACTAGCACTACATATGCCGTTCATTCAATTACAAAGAATGAACGGACGTAGTGACGATCTCTTTGCTCTTATTTTTGACGAAGAACGAAAGAAAAGAATAATGCGTGAGAACTTTTGTTATGCTTACAAAACAGACACAAGAGAAGACGAAGAAAAAAAGAAACGAAGAAGAAGTTCTTTTTTTTTGCTGAAGTCATGTTATTTTACCAACATTATTGATCGACTCTATTCGACTTATATGAACCGTATTGCTTAGCTGTGTGTATATTTTTCTTTGTCGTTATTTTCGATCAAGCTTCTCTTATCTAAACTCTTCTTTTTTCCGGTTTGATATTTCCGATCACAAAAAGAAAGAAAACTAAGAGAAAGAATGGAAAGACTATGTGGACTTACAATTTATTCACTACTCTTCGGTCGTATAAAGTAGATTATTGGCAAAAGGATGACAAAAAAGAGTCATACTTATTGAGACCTTGACAAGTAGGACACAACTGAATGAACTCGCACTATATGCATAAGAATAAAAAGAATAAAAATGAACATCAAATAAAATATAGATAGACAAGAGCGACTGCATATTGCATGGTCTAATGACAGTAGACATTGATTGTATCGTATTTACTCGTTAGTTCAATCAATCAATAAAAATGTTACATTAACGACAGGTGGTTGTGAGCTTCTCATCTTGTCTCGTTTTGTTTTGTATAACATTACCAAAAAGGAAGAAGACATTTAATTTTTTTATTTTTCTCAGCAAGAAATTGCTTGCTCTATGTTTATATTCTATTTCCGTCTCATGAAAAAGCATAGAACAAGAAAAAAAAAAGGAAATTTTCATAATTGATCAGAGCAAAAACAAAATAATAATCTCCGTCTGCAAATCAAAAGAAAAAATACCTGTACGTTGTTAGTTTTGCTTTGGTTCGGTTTTTTGTGTTCAATCGGTTCAGGTCAATCAATGTATTATCAACAACTACTATGTCGCCGCCATCTCAACAACAACGCAATCTTAGAGCTCATATACGTACATACGAAAAGAAAGAATGAACTGAAGTATACGCAAACGAATAAGTGCTTGGAGTTCATCTATATTGCTATTGTAAGAGAAAAAGAGAGACAGAAGAGAATGAACAGTCTCCCTTGTTCGGTATGTAAGGTACACTATGACTATACGCATATGTTGTTAAACGCTTACGAAAAAAAAGCAAGTGATCTTGAACTCATATACGCATATAACGAAATGAATGTTAGCTTTTCCCCCTCTGTGTATAAGTGTACGTCTTATGTTGATCAAAGTTACTACTCAATCTTTTACACATGCTCGAACAAATGAAAGCTGCATATGTAAAATACACAAGAGATTTTAAAGAGAGTAGCATGCAATTTATTAACTCATTCTACCGTTTCTTTTTTATGCGAGTTGGATGCTTTTTTAAAGGAAAAAAAATCATCCAGAAATAGACTTTTTCCTATCTGATGGATACTGAAAAATTCTAGTCTTTATAGAACGATAAATAAAAAAAGAAGATTTGCTCGAACGCGAACATACATTCAGAGAAAGACGGAAAGAATTAAATAGGCAAGAAAATTTATATGACTAAGATATAAGAGGATCGACAGCAGACAGACAAACACAGATAGACCAAGAAGAGAAGAGAGAGAGAGAGAGAGAGAGAGAAATAAGAAGGTGGTTGATAAATATTGATTGGTACAAGGATTTAATTCAGAAGTTAATTAATTAATTAGTTCATGTGATTATTTTGAATCGAAAAGTTTTCTTTTGCGATTTTCTTTTAATTTTACATAATTAATCAACAGATGTCGCTAGCAAATAAATCACAGCTGCCTATAGATGTTTTCTAAACCTAACGAAACTGATTGATATTTTTCTCACTATTACTATGAAATTTGATGGTCTAGTTGTCTCATTGTATTGAAAAACAAATAGTTTTTCATTGAGACGAGAAAATTACCCAGGTGAATGAATCCGATAATATCGGATTCGATAATCCGATGGGATTCCTGGGCATGGAACCACTAACGGATCCGACGGAAAAAAGCATTTAATTAATTGACCATTAATTAGTGCCTCAAGCCAACATTAGAGGGTAATTCGAGTCGAGCGTTGGATCCGTCACAATCCGGCAGTAGGATCCGATGATTATCCAATGTTATTCCGACACTAGGGATCCGGTTGTCATTCCACAACCCGGAATCTGATAGGAATTCGTTGGTTTAGTGGAAATTCATATAAAATTCAATCGGATTCCCATATAGGATCTTATTGGGTACAATTGTCGGAATGATTCTCTTGGGTATATACATCTATTTTTACTGTTTTACCACGGTCGAATAAAAAATAATTCAAGAAGAGTAGATCTATTGTGTTTTTTTTTCGTTCACTATGATTATCATTTCTGGGGCTAGATAAATCTATTTATAGTTATTAATTAGCAACGTTCGAACATATTAGTTTTTTTTGTTAGTAGTTGTGATTTGAGGTTTAATTTCAACAGCTTTAGCTGATATAATAAAAGATCTAGAAATGATTAGTTCAACAATGAGTGTTAGTAAATAAATAATTAAATCATTTTTGTAAAAAAAGAAGTTTATTTTATTCCCTTAGAATTATGTTTACATTTAATGTTATTGATGCGTTTTGTTCTTCAAGTAAAAAAATAAAAAATCAACTTTTTTTTGCTTGTCATTTTCCTAATAAATGTGCACAATGAGCAAGATTTATTAATTACAAGTAGATCTATATTTGTTTGGTATAGATTTTCATACTTTTAATTTTTCAAGATATCCTACACCCCAGAGCAGATGAAACAATACGAAATTCTATCCACTATTATCGCATCAATAATGAATAAAACAGCAGTTGCATCCGTTAAGTCAACATAAATAGATAAAACCTATTTGACTACTCTCAGAGTAGTTTTAATTTTTCGTAAGTTTTCCTGTTTGATAATTGCATTTTACTTTCAAGTACTTTTTCTTTCATGGTTGTGACTATGCGATGTTATATATATTTAACCCTATAGCATCTACGCATTAGATTTCTTTACAATGCTTCAGCAATTATTGAAGAACCTTATGCAATAAGAATATGCGAACTGGAAACATGATTGTACTTTTCTTTAAATAAAATATCTACACAATGAAAATTTTGAATATTTCAAAAAACAGTTTTTTTGTGTTACTACTGAAAAGCATGTTTTCTATTGCCGTCAGACTAACGGCTTGTTACAATTAGTTTAGCAATTGAGAGAAATGTTCTTGATGGGTGAGTTCAGGATAAAATTTTTAATTGAAAACAAAATCTTGGAGATTGTTTTAAGCTTCTCTAATATGTAATATTATTACAACCTGTACTTTCTAGATGGATACACACAAGACTATCGTACCTTTACTATCACCGATACTAAGATCAAAAACGATTTTTATCCGCTTGTAACTCGAGATCGTCATCATAGAAAAAAAATCTGTTCCAATTATGTAATAGACAGGTTTTACGTGTGTCTTTGTAAAAATAAAAATCTTTTCCGTATGTGTAATTTAATATAAATGTTATTTTTTTCCTTGCTCATCATTATAATTAACGGAAACAATAGTGAAGGACTGTTCCTTTCATATTTTCCTCATGTGCCCAAAGCGGAAACAAAAGCTTCAGCATTCTATAACTTACTAGTGGACTTATTTTATCTTTATGGTATTTTTCTTTTACTTCCATAATTAATTTTTTCTGTGGTTGTTATATATTTTCCATAGTAACTAAAAGACAGATCTGCTATTGTTTTTACTTCAATTAAAATATTGAACTTTATAGTTTACGGGTTCTTATAGAACTTACTTGACAGTCGGGAGCAAATGCTGTATGTATATCTAAAACGGATATTTTATTAAATAATGTGATTGAATACTAAACTCAATTATTCCTTTTCAACATCTAATAAATAAGAAAAATGTATTATTGTATTTGATTATTTCGTCTCTGAATAGTATGCTGCACAAAATTGATAAATTAAAAAAAAATGTTCTCTCGTAGTTATTTATAATTTCAGACAAAATACATCTCAGTAGATATATTGTGTGATATCTGTTAATGAAAACATTCATGAGTGACTTAGAAACGTTTCGCATTAACTTTGTCTATAAAAGATCGCGAGCTATGGAATGCATCCTGCAGCGGCCAGTGGGGCTAAAAAGAGGAAATGAAGTCTTTTTTTAACATTTATTGTCTTTTGTAAATCTTATCAGATGAGAAATGGAGCAAAGTATTTTGCTGTTAATGAACTGACGTGATAGATTATATCAATACTTAGCGAGTAAAGTATTTTGAAAACAATAAAATTCATTTTAAGTACATAAGTTTTTAAAACTATTTTTATTCTTTTCTTTTTTTGCATTAATCCAATGGGATACAAAACTATTATTTTTCAGATCCTTAATTTCTTTTGTTTCAAAAATCTTTTATCGAAAGTGATCGAACTATCGTGCATCTATTAGCATATGAATGAAACTCTCATTATGGAGCTCGGCTAAAATCGACATCCGGAGTAAGGAATGTTTTGTTGAAAATCTAATCGACGACTTCATTCAACGTTTAATTCATTAAATTTTTAAATATTAGAAGTATATAAACATGATTAACAAAATTATATTTTCTTTTATTTGTTAATTCTTCAGAGCATTCAAGTATTTAGGAAATTTTAAAAATTCTTTGATTTATTTTGTTTTTATCAAATAGTTTCCATGCAATCATTTACAATACATTTATAAAAGACCAAAAAAAAAAATAGAAGTGCTGTTAAAGTATATAAACATGTCAAGTAAATTGTTACATAATATCAAGAATAAAACATCAAAATCATAGCTGTATGATATTGAATTAGCTATAGTTCACAAAAAAGAAAATATCTATTTTCATAATCGATCCACTTAGAATCTAAACAATATTGACACAAATGAAGATTGGTAGCAAAGAAAAACTTAGAATTATTGTCACTGAAACTCGTCAGCATAATAAAACATTTGGCGAAATAATTATGATAAATAGTTAGACACATCAATACATTGCTAAAAATAAAAACAAAAATAATATTTTGGAATTAAGTTGGTATCAGTGAATATTCTAATTATAACATAGATAAAGAACGAATTTACAAATATTTCGATACTTTTCTAATATAATTAAGCTTAAATAATTGCTTAAACGATCAATTAATGAATTATATTGTAAAAGAATTTCTTTCAATAACTTGCGTTATATCGATAATAGAGACAAGGCGATAAAAGACTTGCATGCAACCCAGAGATAATTCAATGTCGATGTAATTGTAATTATTGATGAGATAGATAAAAAAAAAACTTACGTTAAATTTGCTTGTCGTTGTGTTCTTTTTGCAATACTAATTATTTAGTTATAAGTGGTATAGTCATTTATTTTATGCGCTGGCGGTTATATTTGATAAAAATACATTTTTCGTCTACGTATTTGTCTCATATTTAGCTGTCGTTGTTTCTCTAAAGTTAAACATGTTTCTTTATAGTTATGACTTCTATCCGTCATCGATCAACCGTATCAATCGTGCATTTATAATGAATATGATGATTACAATCGCGTGTATAGAAGTAATGTAGGCAAAAATCCATGTGTATAAACTAATCGAGTTTCAATTGACGTTACCTTTTTTTTAGTACAATCTTTATAAGATAAGAATATAAAATACCATGGAACTATTTTACAAGTCATGGATAAAGTTCAAGTGAAATCTATTTCTCATCGATATAATAGAGATAGAATTGTATCTAGCATTACCCGTGGAAAGTTGAAGTCTTAAATTTCTACTTGTAGCAATAGTAAAATCAAGTGAACCGTTAATTATTCTATAAAGTTATGATTCTTCGAGATGAGCAATATAACTGTAGAACATGTACTTTGTTTAAAACTAAAGGCAATGAATATCTTATGAAGCCTAAATAAGACCTGTAAATAAATATTGTTGAAACATTACAAAGAATATCATACAATAAGACTCTTGATGATTAGACATTTTTATAACTATAAAATATCATAGTATCTAAAAGAAATGTTTACTTCTATAATCTAAATTTTAAATGATCTTTGCAAAAATAATGAAGAACCTACGTTTCTATCTTTATATGTATTACTACTCTTACTAATTAGAATTTTTAGTAGTTTTACCATGATACTTGATTGTTTAAACAGAAAATCAAACATAACAAGATATATCTTCTGCTTAGGGGTGTCAATTTGCAGTTTAATTAATTTAAAATTTAACTTTATAGAATTGAATTTAAAATTAAATAAAATTTTTCTCATACAAAAATTTTAATTTAAATAAAATTAAAATTTAACTTTTAGGGTGAAAAATCATTTAAATTAAAATTTAAAATTTAACAAATTGTTTGGATGGATACACATCATTGCTACGACGAAAATACGTGAGTTTAACAGTAGTAGATACTAAATGAGAGAAAATCTTAGTATTTTAGGTTAATATTTGTTCATAATAGTCAAAATTTCTCTACAGATTATGCAGGATTCGTCATTTTTCTTCTTCAAAATACTGGGATACTCATAAAAATATATTTAATAGCGCAATTCGTAGAAGAATGACTAGCGTTAACTTTATAAAACAGGAAACATACTCAAATTTGACTTTAAATAGTAGCAATCAAATCAAAAACTATGTTTATCTACTAGTTTTCAAAATTTAACTAAATTCAAATTTCTTGAATTTAAATTTAACTTTTTATTTAAAAAAAATTAAAATTTTTCAAAATTTATTTCTCAATTCAAAATAAATTTTTTAAAATTTAAATGTGAAACCCCCAACTTCTGCTGAAACATCTCATCGATGTACTTATCAGAATCGAAAGATCAATCAAAGAAAAATATTTTTTTGGGTTGTAGAAAAGATAATATTTTATAGTTTACTACTTTTTAATGATTCCATTATTCATCGAGAAAAGACGATATCAATTTTCACACTATCTATTTCATATTTGATAAGTATTATTCTATACGGATTATTCATTTTGATCAGTTTGTTATTCGATCAAACAGTGGTATAAACAAGTTTCTCCCGAGCTAATCTTATCTATAGTTGCACACAACCTCGGTCGCTACTTTATTTACCTGAAATATTTTAATTAAGTTTGACGCTATTTTGTAGACATAGAGATCATATTAACCCGATCGTATGTTTGAATAAATTCAAACATACGGTACTTACAATTGATATCCTATGTTGCAACATTGCTAATGATCTATGACAAATAGACATAGGCAGGTTCAGAACAATTTAAAAGCATATAATGATAAGTGATAGAAGATATGCCTTGAAAATAATATTAAGCAGCCCACATGCATCAATAATAAAACAGTTGCCTATTTGTGAGCTTCTATTTATTATTAACAACAATAAATATTGTATTTTAACCAACAACGTAGGAGTTGTTATTATTTCGTTGTATCATAGATACATATCAGTCAATATTCATTTTCAAACTGAATCGAAAGAAACTATAGATTTTTATTATATCTAAATTGTCGATGAAATTAGCAAATCTTCATTTTACTACAATGAAGTATTGATAAGAATTGACAAGTTTACTATCTCAATACATGATTTCTAAAGACATAATTATACTGTCATAACAGACTAGTCAGATAATCTATTGAGATTGTCATCAAAGATTGACAGTTTTCATACAGAACACAGCAACAAACTTTGATTTATAAAGACGAATAATTTCCAGAAACTATTCTGTAATTAATCAAAAACGTGTCTCCACGAAGGATACCGATTTCTGTTTTCGAAAGAAAAGTTTACACTAACAGTTTAACAATTTTCGTTTTTTTATCATTATTATTGTAATATAATCACCTTAAACTATATACGTATACTTATCGTGACACTTCATTTTTTTTATAAGGGTTCTCATATTTATTTATAATTCGTATAATTAAAAAAATTTTCTTTTATGATCTGTATGCAAAACTATTCAAGTAATATTTATTTCAACAAGCGCTAATTATATATTCTCTTTCTTTTCCCGTTATTCATTATTTAGAAAGCAGTATACGAATTATGTTATCGCTGTTATTCACTAGCTGACCTTACAATGGAAAATTCTATGGAACTATTCGGTCATATCTAGAGAAGAAAATTTTATATTATTCGAAGAAACAGGGCGTGCTAGTTTTATTTATCAAATAGAAAAACTGAAACACTCTATATGCAAGTCATGTCAAAATAAAAAATAAAATACAATTATGTCATTCATTTATTTCGATGTTGTTTCGAACGTGAATCATAGTTATTTGATCGTTCGTGTTCGATAGCCATATGTCTTGGTTCTTGAGATTGAGATCGAAGTCGTCCAAATGATGGTGGTGCCATTAATAAATTATTTGCTTGTGAGTCAAATCCGTGTCCGTTTAAGTTTTTCAAACCGAGTTGTCCTGCTCGATTAAACCATTCACGTTCAAACTGATTTTCATCTTCGATATATTCAAAATCACGATTTTCTAATAGTTTTCCACTCGATGGATCACGTTCTTTGGTTATTCTATGACCACGTTGACCAAGTCGATGGGCTATCTCCATTTTTTCTAAGTTTCGACCCGTATCCTGAACAGCTTTACGTGTTCGTGAGAAACCTAAATAGAAAATTTCGTTAGAGAAAAAATGAATGATTCAAAAACAAAATTTACAATTCACCTTCAGGTCCTTGCAATTTTTCTGATGTTGCTTGAATAATTCTTGGTTGTGTCCCATTTCTATTATCCATACTCATCACAGTTGATGAACTAAATGAAACACCTTGGCCATTAGGTTGGAAATCATTACTATTAATTCTCGATTCCATATGTCTCATCATTTGATTCATATTACCCATCATAGTATCCATAAATCCAAATGGATTACCAAATATATCTAGTTCTCGATCATTATTATTTTGTTGATATTGTGTTAGTTGACGATCATGCCTGTCAGATCTTGATCGCTGCTCGAATGTTTGTGGAAGATCGACTCCAGAAAAAAAAGGATCGCCGCGGAATGGCGAAAGAAGACTCATAATGTCGACACAAAAAATAAGTTTTCAAAACTATAGTTAGTTTTTGTCTCAACGGGTATTTATATATATATATATATATATGTTGGCAATGATGCAAAAATTATTACTGTAGAAATGAATTTTCTAGATTGTTCTCGAGGCGCGCAAAGAATAACAAAGAATCAGGAAGAAAAAAAAGAGAAAGCCTATGCCCCATTTTCCTTCTCAGCCGTTTTATTCTCTTTCTCTCTCGACTTCTCGAGAAAAAGAAAGAACGTCAATTCATAAAATATTTATTGAGGGTCGTTTTCGTTTTTCTTTTGTTGTCAGACAACGAGAACAACTAGTATATTACTCATTAAAGATATCGTCTAGTGTTTCGTGGGAATACTGTGATTGTTCCGACGACCTATTACTAATTTTCATTTGTTTCGTTTTCGTCTTGTTTTTACTAATATAACAACATGCACAGATACATGTCAATAAAATCATAAATAATAAAATCCATGTTGAATATTTTGATAAATCAACATTAATTGGTTTATTTATTGATGAAGAATTATCTGGACTAGCATCGAATTTTCTTAATCTACAATAGCAATGAAGAAATAGTCTATTCTGATTGACGCTGACAAAGTACAACATACAATATACGAATTCCTTTCGAATTAGTTGCTTCAAATTCTTCAACCTACAAGAAAATTAGTTTTTCTTTGAATGTGAATGTGAATTTTCATTTGATTGACCAGCAAAATTATAATCCCTACTAATTCTATACTTCTAAAAAATAGTCAAATTATGCCGACCACCGAATCGAAATAAATCCCAAAAAAGCAATGATGTCGTATTTACAAGATGACTATTCAATTTTGCTTACTAAGTTTCACAGAGAGTATCAAAGCGAGATATATGGCTTCAATGCACTGCATCAACCTCACCAGCTTAGTTTACTAAATACGCATTGATCCAACTCCTCATTAAAGCATTGATACAATTAGACCTTCAGTAAACGTCGATGACAGTACACTCGCCATCCCAGGAGAGAGTCTATCTCGTTAACTTATGTTTCTATATTTCTACTTGCAGTACATATTACTACGTAGTTATAAATTCCGAACAATATTAAACTTACAGCTTTATAAATCATATTATGATCTAAGTGAGTTTCGGACTGTGATGGATAATAATCTAAATATAATTTTGTATGGTAATAAAAAAGAATTGGCTTTCTTTTTTTGACATACAACAAATCCATGACCAATTAGTTTTGAGATTTATTGATTGATTCCAATAATATCGATGGGAAATATCAATATTCGAATTCGTATCAACCACGTATGAATATCAAAACAAGAAAAAGAAAAAGTCTGAAAATAAGAACTCGATAAAACTCACTCACACATCATACTAAGATAATTACGATCATCATATTCAAATAAAATTTGATTTGTTCGAATATCTCCATTTTTTAAAGAATAATTTGTTCTCTCGACAAAAATAAAACAGATTCATTTAGAATAATACAAAAAATAAAGCTTAATTCATATTCTTTTTCTCACTAAGTATTTATCATCTGTTAATTTACCAATCAATAATTGACTTGGATGAGACTCATGAAAAATTAAATTTATTCGTTCAATGTTTATATGTCCCGTTTTATATTCAGTTATTATTGTTGCTGTTGATGGAATCGATTTCTTACATAAATCTTTTGAACATTTAGATAAAAAAAGAAGAAATTCATTGACATGTCTTTTTCCATGAAGAATTTCACATAACAAATCTAGTCTTGTAACATCAACAATAGCACGTCGATCTATGGATGCTAATGATAAATCGCATACAAGACTATTTTCTATTTTTAATGCTTCGTACAATATATCATCATCTGGAAAATGATCAAAGTAAAATAATGGTCCATTTTTTTTACATCGAAACAATGTTGGTACATTGTTTAAATAGAATTTTATTTCGGTTTTTAAACAGATAGTAAAAGATTGAGTAGCTAAAAGTACAATTAAAAATAAAAATAAATTATTTGATGTATTCATTTTAAAACAAATAGAGAAAAAAATCAAGGCGGGATAAAGTAGTGTCGGTAAAAATTGTGTTTATTATTGAATTTTCAAAAGAATACTTACAATACAGGTCCTCAACTTTCCCAGCTATATGGTGTATAAAAGGAAGATCTTAAAATAATATATACATGACTGTTTTGATCTAGATAAAGACAACAGTAATTGCATCGAGTTCGAACAGTTCTCTATTGTTGAGTATATACTCGAATTTGCTTTCGAAAATAAAGATGACAAAAATTAATTAATTTCCCAAAACAAAAAATTGTATAACTGTTTTAGTACAAAGTAAATAGCGTTTTTGGTGCTGTTCTTAAAATGTTTCGTGAAGCAGTTTTTCAACTCGACATTATTATAGAACGCCAATTTAGACAAAAATCAAATATTAACATTAACGAAATCTTTTCTATTTTCAATGGAAATGCAACTAGTGAACGTTATAAAACTAAGCCATTGTAAGTTTTTCTACTTTTTCAATTTCACAAGTTTTTCAATGGAATATAGAACTGTTTAAGAATAGTGTACTATACAATGATTATTTTTGAAGCACTATACTGACAATTGTTCAGTAATATAACAAAAGAAAATCAAGATAATCAAGTTAACTAAAATAGTACACTTAGTGATGGTATGTAGAATACTTCTGCCATTTTATGGAAACAAAGTACTATCGCAATTGTTTCTTGATAATAATATACTATTTGTGAATCTTTGTTCGACTTTTTCCAATTCATGAAATATCATGTCCGATGGATGAATATATTTATATAGCTATCTTTTATTTTATATAATATTGTTGATACATCATTTCATTTCATTCATTTTTCGACTGCAAATAACCTGGGTTTGCAGGCGACAACAATCTTACGCCATTCTTCCCTATTGACAGCAGTCTTCCGGATTTCTTCGATGGTTGGTGGTGTGTCGTTGTTGATCAGTCTTGCGACGTAATCAGGATAGTTTAAGCGTGGGCGACCNGTGTTTAGTGGTTTCATTGAGAAATATTGTGAATGATAATAGTTTAAACAGTATTTAGGATATAGCTATCAATATTGTTGAGAAATTTATATTTTTTCGTATTACCAGGTGAGAAATTGATACATTTTTTCATAAACGAAAACTTGATAAAAGCTTCCCAGTAGACGGAAAAGTTCCGAATTATAAATACACTAAAGTGGACTCAAGCTCTAGAATAAGGTATTCGTGTGAGAAAAAAAAAGATTAAAATCTTCATCTGTTTTTTGTAGGTGGTAGAAGTAACGAGTGTAATAGTAGCATAAACTAGTTGCTAGCTTCTGTAGCGGTAGCATACACTCGTTGCTAACGTCTACCATAATAAAAATATACGATACTGTCGTAACTATGGGCTATAATAATAAAAATGGCAGATTTTGATGATTAATTAGAGATTAAATCCTAGCTATAATGATTTCTAATTAATGAAACTAGATTTTTATTACTGATGTGAGTAGTGGTGAACATAGGCAATCGACCTGTACCAAAAAAGTTTCGAATTAGTGCATCTAAGTGTTAGTTTTTTTATATTTTATGTCTGTAATGTGGAGGGGGATGGGGTACAGGGGAGCCGCAAAAACCTAACAATTAAACTTACACTCACTATTTTCTTCGAAAATATATGTGAGTTTCACAAAATGTATTCTTATTCTATTTGTTTAACATAATAGTTCAATGATTTTAATTTATAAGAAACGAAATACAAAAAATTGTAAGTTTCCATCGACATAGTCTAATTTGATTTAATAGAATTTTGTGAGTCTACAGACGATCTTCGACGATCAAAATCATCAGATTCTTCTTTTAAAACAACTTGATTTTGCTTTTTACACAAACAAAATGATCCAACAATAACAATGAATATCAATAGAAGAATAAATACGCGAACAAATGAATTATTATTCTTTGGATTCAATGGTATGGAAGAATTATCAAAGGAATCCATTGGATTCATCTGGTCAAGTTCTGGCCTAAAGAAATATTTTACAGAAAATGCATATGAATCCATTGTTTCTTTCGCCGATGAAATCTGACTTACGAAAGTCGAGATTCTGGAGAACTTGCTTTTTCCGAATCGCTAATCTAGAATTCTATTTCATTACATTAATACTTTCATTTTCATCTTACTAAAAATAAGTTCTAAAAATAAAACTTACAGCTTTACTAATAATTGTAAAATCCATAGGATCTTCTGTATTCGATGGATAATAATCTAAAACCATGGATAAAGAGAACAAGCTAGAGTTTTATTGTTGAAAAACTAAATCATGTACTACTTACAACATAACCATGACCAACCTGCTCCTGACGAAGTCATTTTTCCACTTCTTTTGTGAAAGAGATTTCTATGAAATAAGTATTGCACGCGACAAATTGACTTGTCATCATCGGGATTGTTTATATAAGTATATCTGAATTCTCAATATGAAAAATCAAATTATTCTTTTTCTTATCAACAATTAGATTTTTTAAAAAAGGATTAAATTCATAAACATACTCGCACATCATATTAAGATACGTATCTTGTTGAATTTTAAATACAATTTGACTTTTTTTAAAACCTCTTTTTGCATAACCATCATCGTGGTACTTATAAAAAGAAAACCAAAATAAAACAGAAATTAATAATCGATATCAAATTAACATTACATGAAGTTTACACGACAAATTCAAATCGATCAAAAATCTTCGATAGATATGATTTTTTTAAGTCAGAGAAGTGAGCATTATCACTTGTTTTTCATCCTCTTTTATGTTAAAATGAAAGCTTTGATACTCACCTGAATCTATCGTGATTATTTTATATCGAAATTTTAATCAATTTTACTGTCAGTCTATTCTTACAGAAAACGGATATTGATCATCTTCACCTATTTGAATTTTTTCTGTTCCGATTCCCCTTAAATCAAAATCGAGTAACGTTGGTTGATTTGATTTTGTTCTATGATTTTTAATTATTGTTGCAACTGATGGTGTTAATCGTATGCAGTGATCATTCACTGAGCAATTCGTTTTGAAAACTAATATTTCATTAATACGATCTTCTTTCGAATACCAAGGATGAGTACATCGTGAAATTAATTGGTCAAGATCAAATGTAACGCGTTTTTCTGGTGTTGTTAACGATAAATCACAGTCGCTAATATAATTTCTTATAGTCTGATTAAATATTTGATTTGTAGGAAAATCATGAAAATAAAAGACACGTCCATTCGGCTTACATCGAAATAATGATGGAACATTTACATTGAATTTTATTTCAGTTTTTGTCGATAACGCAATGATATGTAAATGAAGAAAAAAAATAATGCAAAAATTTGCACTGTTGAAAAGCATGAAAAAGTTTAATAGCGCGAGGACTAAAAAATCAATGATTTACTATGCAAATAAAATACAATAAAATTTCTTTTTCTTTCAATTTTTCTCCGATTCAAAAATACGTTTTGAATGATTCGACATATGTATTTGATACGCTATGCTTTTCGGCGATATCAATATATCGCGTCTTCTTGATTGCGGACGTTTTTTCTTAATTGTTGGGAAAAAACGTCCGCAAAGTAGAAACAGGGGGAGAGAGACAAAAATAGTCGCAGAGTGGAAAACGTCAGCAAAGCAGAATCGGGGGCAAGAGAGCAAAAAATGTCCGCATTGTGGAATCAAACGAAAATTGATATTTTAAGATGATTCATGCAAAAAGGTGCACTGAATTATATCAACTGTTTCGAGCTAGTCTAGTGTTGTTCATCACATGTCATCCAGGCCATTTTATAAGCATGTATTGTGAAAGAAAAACATTTAAAGTGACGAAGTTAAGCCTAAACGAATCACATAAAAATGTCCATCGTGAAAAATGATAGCTTTTCTCAAATTTCCACACAATCTAATAAAGATGGTATAGTTTTTAAAAATTATCATTTCGGAATGAATTTTGATTATCAACCTAACACAGTTAGATGTTCAACTATTCTTCATAAATGATTTTTCTGTATTTTTTTTCGCCTAATAAATCTTGTCTTGATTCCATAATGCTGACATTTTTTTCTCTCCACTCCCCCCGATTCTGCTTTGCGGACATTTTCCAATCTGCGACTATTTTTGTTTCTCTCCCCCTTTTTCTACTTTGCGGACGTTTTCTCTTAATTGGAGGAATAAAATGTCCGCAATCAAGCTGCATCCCAATATATCATGCGCTAGATTATTAGATTGTTATGCACGTTTCTTCAGATTGAAAAATGTTAATCATCACTTTTCATGTGATTCTCACGACTTCTAACTAATTGTGTTGTTAACATAGTCATAAAGAAAGGCTATACTGTAACTTAACTTTCAAATTCTCACGAAAACATGATCGTCTGAGTGTAGCCAGTCAGGCATAGTTAGCTATTCGATCATCATCTAATTAAATCGTGAGCAATAGAAAATCTTTCGAAAATACCATCAAAAATCGCATAGAAAGTGGCACACATGCAATATCTAGTCATATAATTAACACTTTCTGTAAATATGTTGTTACATAAAACAAAACAGGATATATTCACAAGGAAAAACAATTACGGATTGTAAATAAAGTTTATCATTCAGAGCTATTTGCGTATGTAATTAAACGATAACATATAAAAAAAACGAATTTGTTCTTAATTAAATCGATAATCATCATATAATTCACGAATTATCTGTTTTTTTTTGTAACAATCGGCTAATTTACTGTTTACTCTAAAGAGTAGTAATCAAGATGATAGTGAAAGAAGTTCGGGCACTTATAATGCTTTCGTAAATTTTTATGAAATTTAGAACAATTTTAACTATTGACGTAAGGCGCAAAACGATGATAATTGTTATGAGACTAAGTGTAGCGTGTACCCTTTGTTACACCACTAGTTTTAACAGAAGATTAACTCTAATAACCCAGGATTTTCTTTTATCTGTTCGGTTTTTCTTGGAAGCTCTCCTTGTCGAACGAGACGAATAAATATTTTTCTGACGACTACAAATATTCAATACATATATAAAAAAAGTAATTTGATGAGTGTGGAACAACCCTTTTATGTTTATGATTAATTTATCAACCAATAAGATTTTGCACAGTGACAAACACAGAAAATGTTATGTTGCTTCGACTTCTAAATTTCTTCATGTACAATCCGAGATTCATGAAACTTATTTGTAAAAAAAAGAGAAATTCAAAAAAGCAAAATTATTTCATCTTTCATAAACGGCACTTGCAAGCAAAACATATGATGATAACAATCATTCTGAAAGTTCAATCGGATACTTTTCACATTCCACCAAAAACTTCGGTCTACACATTACATAAGCTGTTTTTCATCCATTTATGAATAAAATCAAAATCCAAACATCATTCATGAAAATTCTCTGCTGCGTATTCTTTTATTTTGTCATTCTCTATTTACCTCATGTCCTTGTCAGTTTTCATTTATCTTTAATTATCAACTGGTAATTCACCATAAAGTACATCGTTTAAAAAAATGCAGCATCAAATCATAGTACTTTTTGCAATCTTGAAAGATACAGCTGAACGCACAGTTATTCGTTCTATGAAATACTCGTCTTTGATTTTGCCCTCATTCACACATCCTTTTTTTCTCTTTTTCAACCACTACTATTTGTATATAAACACGACGCTTGTTTGATTTCATTCTCAATACAGTCCGACACTTACCCTTCTATTTAAACGAACAAAAACGATCATGGCCGATTCTAGTTCATCTTCAATCGACTCACCAAAAATTAACAGTGAGCAATCCGTTCCAATGTGTGATATAGAAAAACTTTCACCTAATGAAAAAACTGACTCTAAACCGGTTACAAATCGTAAAATGACATTCAAACGAAAGGTGATACCTGAACAACATCGTACATTAACGTCTAAATTACTTAACATGAAACAAATTATACATGAAGAATACTTGGTACGCGAACAAATAAATCGTATACGCTTAGAAAAACAATATATACAAACTTTATTGAACACACTACACGCTTTCCATTCATATGACAATATGCAAAATTAACGATAAAATCTAAAATAATTAACAAGCGACAAAATAATCATTGAGCCACCACTGATATTCAATGAGGCCGCTTCTTATTATGAAATGGTATTCACATTGTTTATTGTATAGAATATTATACGTTTCAAATAAATTTTATGAGCGATATCACATATAATTTAATCTAAAGATTCTATTCGTCTTTTGTAGTAACTCGAAACAGTAAGATATGGAACCGTTTCAGATCAATCAACTTTTCATATGTATTTATCTTTTGCAGATTGGTAAGACTCATTTCTATGTTGCTTGTATCAAAAAGGTCTAGTACACTTTGTGATATATACAGAAGTACTTCAATTTTTTCCCTCTCACTAATCGAAATGAAACGAAAAAACACCAGTATAAACGCCGAATTAATTTACCCTTAAATTTATAACTTTTATGTATCTAATACTTTTACACAAGGGTAAGGAGGCTCAGACAAATATTATCTATCTGTAAATCACTTCATTAATCATCCTGGTCCTGTCCTTGATCGCCATCAATATTAAGCACATGACGTGTACAAATAAAAAACGCATCATAGGAAATAAAATCAGGACTAATCATTCGTCAATGATTGTGCAATATAGGTCACATTTACATCCAATAACTTTTCCTCAAAACATTTAACTGATAGTGACCGAGGAAATGCTTAATGTAAATAAAGTTCATCATCTACTAAGAATTTGCACAGTAATAACATACGTAGATTAACTCTTATTCTTTTGCTTTCGAATACTTCATATAGTTATACGACATTACAGCACTTATCATACAAGCGAATGATAAGATAATAAAAACCGATCATCGATTACAGTTGCCTTTTCGACTATTACTTGAAATATTTAGACCATTTACTGAACAGAACCGTCAGACACTAATCATGTAGCAAATCAAACAGAAGTCTTGCCTATTATGAATGCAGTCGTATCTCATGAAATTGAATTTTGTAAAGCTGTAACGAAGAATATATGAAAAAAATCCGTACATATATCTTACTGGGCATCAATATATTGTTTTTATTCTCCTTGTAAACTGTTACTATCGTGGAATACGTTTTAATCGTATATCATTTTATCAGTATTCAGATCTGATTAGCAAAAGTTTCACTAGGAAAAAAATTGCTATTTAAGAATAAATAATTTATTTAAACTAAAAACAAGATAGTTAAAAAAAGAAAAGAATGAATCAACATCAATGATTATTATAGGACCCAAATTTTCATAGAATGTGCTGTTGGAGTGTTTGATGGATACATCAGATGGTGCATACTCGGTGCAAGAGATTTTCGGCTTTTTCTTGCAATTGGTGTTGATGAATCAATAGGTAGTGGTGCACATTTCGAGAGAGAATAACGAAAATGGATAGGACGCGGAGTCGAACATAAATTTTGAATCGGTGTTGTATTGATTTTTTTGGGTGTTGATGTTGATTGAGGTTCAAATGTAATTAAACTAAACACAAAAAACAATATAGTACATGATATTTATTCGTTGAATTTTAATATAGACTTACCTCATTTTATATCTGTTTGTAAAGTTGTAGGAGATTCGAATGATGAATAGTTGAGTGTATGCTGTGCGTAAGATGAAATGGAATGGGATAGCAGACTAATATATATATTATATATACTACATCGAGATAAAGTTAAAATTATTAATTGTAACGGTGGAAAATTGCTTGCAATCAATAATGCAAACCAATAACAATTGATTCGATGTAATCAAAAACGTTAATTGATATGATTGTGGACGATATGAACTTAATATCGGACAGAGGAAAGAAAAGAACAAGATTATTCTATTCTCAATCTCTTTGATTAATTAACGAAATTCGAACGGACTAAATCATAGTGAATAACGCCATCATTGACACGATTCGAAGACAAACAGAACATTTTATTCTGACTGAAACAAATTGAATTTCGCTTTTTTTTTACATACAACTAAATGAGTTATTTTTCTTAGATAAATTCAATGAATGATTTAGTATCTTCATTCATCAGAAAACGATGAAAAAAATCAATGGTATTCATTCAAAAAAAGTTTTTGTTAGTTTAACGAATCTTTTTAACGTTTTCATACGCTCGTGAACCGAAAATGATGACTGATATAAAAATTCATTGTAAAAAGTCCAACGAATAATTATTCATAGCGAAATTTCTACAGTGATATCTCAAGGAAAATTCTATTAAAAAAGTTTAAAAAAGTCAATTCCTAACTCGCGTACTACCACATATATATATATATATATACATAAACAGCATAACATGAGAATAAGAGAGTGCATAGCGAAAGTGAAGCACATCTATTAGTAATCTATTGTAATAAACGTTTGATTTTATTCAATGTTTATTTTAAAGAAAATAGAAAACTAATCATATCAGTTGTTTTTATATTATTCAGCAATTACTATTACTATCCTTTAATGCCAAAAAAAAGCAAGGTGCTATTTAAAGTGTACGTTACGAAAAAATTTCTTTTTTTTTAAATAAGAATGATAAAAGTGCGTTAATTATTAAATTTTCTTGTAGACAGCTATGGAAATATTAAGATTTCCGTTTCTTGGGACTCTTTTGCGTGAATATGCAAACAAATACGAGCGTCCAAGAGGAAAATTGATCGTTTTGGTTCCTTGGACTTTTTTAATTCAAGATTTTTTTCATTTCAAAGGATGATAAAGTAAGAAACTTTGAAATGTCAGTTAATTGATATTCGTTATTTGTGTAGAATAAGAATATGATAAATTGGACAAAAAAAGAAAACGATTCAATGGATATTATTTATTTTCACGATAATTTGGTCTTAGAAACTGAACAATATTTTGATAATGAAAATTTTCACATTCGATTGAAGGCTGTTAGTATTAGATATAATACATTATCTTCAAATATTTTTCTTTTGTTTTCTAAGATGAAAATGATGGGTAATCTTGAAAGACTGTTTTCTTACCAATGATATATTGTGAAAAAAAAGTCTTTTCGATTTTTTGTAGATCTTTAAAATATGTTAGTGAATTCACATTACAAATAAGAGGTGAGATTTTCGATTTAGAGATGGTTAACAAGAGAAAAAGATGGGAAGAACGAAGAAAAATATACTTAATTAACCAAGAGAAGTAAAAACAACGAAAATCAATATGGAGTTTTTGTTCTTTTTTTGATTTACTTTTCGATATGAGAATCAAGAAGAAATTTCATCATTGTTTCATAGTTAAGTTTCTACTTTAAATAATTTAAAAAAAGATATTATTATTATTTATGTAAATTAAATTTAGATTTATTTAAATAAATGAAGATAAAAATTGAATTTGGTTTAGGAAACAGTGAATTCTTCTAATGCCATCTCATTGTTTTCGGAATAAGTTGAAAGGCTTTTTCTTATCTATTTGAATAGTTGCTTTTTTAAAGGCTCATTTTTAAATTTTCAACAGAAAAGAACAGGTCTGTTTATTTGTTTGATCATCTCTTTTAGTCTTACAAAAAAAAATGCATAATCCAATTAATCAAAACTTGTTCTAGTATTTAGTTAGCTACAGAATCGCTCACCAATAGTGACTTCAACAGTGAGACTTATGTAAGAAATCTTCACGCATAAATCAGTGTTTAATATGAATGGAACTTTTTTGATCTGGTTCTGTTGGAAGATTATTTGAGTCGTATCTGATCTCTACCCCGAGGTCAAACATTTCCTGTGAGCAGACTTGGAACCAATTACTTGTGTACATATATGACTTGATAAAAAATTATTTTATAGTTGGACATTGCATTTTTGTGGTTTACCATGACAAGATTGAAAGAAAAAAATGTCAAAAATAAAAATGGCATGAAGTTGAATATGTAAGATTGATGGTGAGGATAAATACATTCTTTTTTTTTAGATCTCTATTTATCTACATTTGTGTTTCGTTTTCAAATTGTTTCTTTTTGATCTTTCGACAAGCAAACTTTCACTTAATGATCAGGATACCGAATTTTTTCCGTACATAATCTCAAGTAATAAACCTTTTTTTTGTACACTAGTTATCGTTATATGTTAAGATATGAAGAATATCATCAATCTAATGAAAAGAAATATAAATGAAGACTTATTTTCCCATTTTTACTATGAATAGAGAATTTTCTTAATAGAGCGTATTGTTGGTAACTGTGGCGATAATTTTTTTTATCCCATTTAAAAGAAGAGGGTGTGGGTGTGGGTCTAAGTGCCTGTTTAACTAAGCGGAACACACACGCGTACCCGAACCCACCAGTACGAGAAGAGTAGTTTTGATTTCCAAACAATTACTTGCTGAGCATTGAGCAAAACTAATAGTCTATAAGTTCGTCTCCGGAGCTAGTCTCTTGATTCAATTGTAAATATATATGTGGCATGACTCATATGATTAGAATTTGAATCAAACCAATACTAGCTGTTAGTTTTGTATCGATAATTATATAGAACAAGGAGAGTTATCATTTTTTTCAATTTTCATAAATAGATAAATTATGTTATAATCTATCTAAATGTAACAAGAGCAAAAAAAGACAAAAAATATTGTTTTTCAACAAAGTTTGTTGTTGCGCACATTCCAATCGCAACTGAAATTATCATGTCAACCGTGGCATATGTGCACATAAACTAATCGCGTTTAACTCTGCTGTTTTTTCTTATATGACTTGTGAATACTTGTTTAAATTTATCAATGCACAAATACAGATGCATTTTGTTTCATGACTCGTAGAAGAAGAGAGAATGTAATTCAATTAAGCGAGAAGGTTTCTTATGGGTGTTAAAGAAGAAAAAGAAGTAAAAGATCACAAAAACGATTATAATGTCAATTGACATTTTATGAAGTGATGAGTAGTTTGAAAGTTCGATTGAGACATATCGATATTACAGGAAACTTTTATTTCGTACATATAATGAATGTTTCTTTTTTTTTGACATGTAAAAAACAGAAACTACCAAGTACAAGAAATGTTAATGAACAAAATTTGTTCATCTGGTATAAAATCAACGCGTACATCATTGTCCAGCTGTTCATTAGTGTTTTTAATTGATACATTTTGTTTCCGATTTCCATGTCCATCTGTAATTGTAACCCGATAATTATTGGGTTCGTCCGTTGTTTCCTTTGCTCCATCAGTTAATGATGAATTTAACGATGTATCATCGTTAGAACTATATCCACTTTCGTATGCTAAATTTCTTCTTTCAGTAGAATTTTTCAATAGACAATCTTCTAATTTAAAGTAAAAGTGTGTTGGCTTATTTAATTCTAAACATTGGCTATTTACAGCAGGACCATTTAATTGTATATCTTTTTCTTGTGTAGCTTGACAATAGAATGGATTATTTTCCGGAACAATTCCAGCATAATCAATCGATATAATATGTCGTCCTAATGTCACTGGAATAAATGAGCATTTATATGATGTATGCTGATGATCAATTGATACAGCTGGAGAATTGTCCTCAGTTAAAACTTCTACATTTAGTAAATGACTTGGATCATCAAATGGATTATCAATAAAAACCTATTCGAAAACAAAAGAGTTAAGCAGTTAGATGACGAACTAACTTGATCTTACTTCAAATTCAACTGGACGATGAATAATAATTTGTTCTGATAAACCAATAATACGTATATGAGGTTTATCTTTTGAAATATCTTCTCGTTTTACATGACAAGTAAATGGTGAATTCTGAATATCTTTATTATGTTCTAGTATATGTATAGGACAAATGCCTCCTGCTAAAGGTGTATAACGTACAGTTGCCATTTGTTGTTCATAATCAATTTCGGCATGATAAGATGGTTCTAAACAAAATTGTAAATGACTATGATTAGTAGTTGGATTAGTTAGTTTTTGTTGGCTAAGATCAACATAAAATTCTGTTGGTAAACCAACAATTGCGCGTTGAAGACCCGGCCCAAATGGTTTTAATATTGATAGACAATTGGTTTCATCATTTTTAACATCAATAATCAGTTGACGATGCATTTTGTTATGATATGAAATTGTTAGTTGATGTTCACCTGTGGACATCGGTTGATATGTTAATTCAAGTAAATCCGGTGATAGTATACGACGTTGAACTACAATTGCATGGCCAAATGGATCAATTATTGAAAGAGAAAATGGATCAACAGTTGATTTATAATACGAATTTGTTTGTGAAGTTATTCGAAGACGAAAACGTGCAATTGAATTGAGAATAACTTTTGTTGAACATCCATCGCCTTCCAATTCATAGTCAGGCATTTCTATTAATGAAGAAGAAAATTTTGTTTTTATGATCAAAATTTTTTTCAATCAGTATTGATGAATAATTAGAATTCTTACTAAATCTTGGTATTGTGAGCATTTGCGAACGAAATGGTGTATTTGTCATGATGAAATCGATTTCAATCAATTCAAAAACAAATGTTTAGTAGAATCGAAGTTGTTATCAGATGTATTTTTATGCGATATATTTTCTTTCTTTCTCTCTGTGTGTCCATCATATGAAATTCATGGCAATGGATTCTTTTTCTATGTCGAGATCATAATTTTTTTCTTTACTATTTCTACGATATATATGTTTTTTATCATTTTTTCTCGGCATACAATCGAAATGCTAATTCGAAAATGTTAAAATAGCTAAGTGTTCTATATGGGTTCGTGAGATGAATAATCATTATTCAAAAGAGCAACATGAAAACACAAAATAATCGAATGGCAACATCGTCTGTCTAGTATCATATCTTTTCAATAGTAAAAATACTTGACATAAGAGATTTCTATCAGTAAGGTTTATCTGATAAAAAATAATCCTTGATAAAAAAAAAATAATTATCCTTCATTTTTTTTCCTCATTTACCTTGTATATTGATTTCTTTCACATCTTCTGATAATAATTGTTCTTTTGGTTGATTAGGATTCTGTATAAATACCGTAAATGGATCAGGTGTTATTTGTGTATGATTGTAAAAAAATGATATTTTATAAATTCCTGCTTGAGTTATTGGTTTATAGCTACATGAAAATAATTTAGTATAACCTTGGTCGTACGTGCTGATATATTTTATATCATTTAATACGATATTTTCATTCGGATCTAATATAACGATTTCAGTTGGCAATTGAAGATTATCTTCTATGGGTGTTGTTAATTCGAAACAAAATAGTGTTGGCTGGTTGAGTTTATTATTACCATCTGATACGTGAATGCCTTGGCCAAAACAATGTACTTCAGGTTTTCTCGATGATGAAAGTGCAGCATTTGGATAGAAATAATTAAATGGTGAAAATCTTAATTTATGTATAAAATCATTAAAATATTCCTCATTATTTAGTAAAGAACTTGCTGTTAAAGTCGACGGTAAATATATATGAAGATATTCTTCCATTAAACAAATGATTTCCTGTAAAATTCTCAATGAATCTGAACAATGTATACGATATATATTGGGACATATAGAATTAAATATTGTAAATAGACGACGTATGCATGGCAAAACTTTTAAAAAATAATTTTCATTGATATTTGTCAACAACGGTGCTTTTTTCATGTTGAGTAAATCCAGTTCTATTGGATTATTCCATACAAAATCATGTGTGTCATACAAGAAATTTGATGTTGCTGGAATAGTCAAATGAAGAAGACGAGTGGATGCTGAATTCGGATATTTCTTTGAAGGATACTGCCGATGTACAACCATTCTTTTTGGAGAAAAATATTCTTTACTATACGGATGTCGATTGGCCTAGAAAATATACATGCATAGATAAATACAGAACTCAAGCAAACAAAGCATAGAGAGGGCCAAATGATGCCAATGTCTAGCCGTAGCCAGCCAAATACGTATGCAGACATGTTAAAAAAGAAAACGAAGGTCTGAGCCTATCATGTTTGGTATACGGTAATAGTTAACAGAAGGAAAAGAAAGAATCAACTAAATATAACGATTATAGATCACGAATTAAGTAACTTCACTGGCAAATACGTATGTTTTGTTGATCGTTCTAATCAATTGATCATAGTGATCGTCAGTATAAAACTAAATACGTCCTTCATCACGACATAGTATTATGTTATTTTGCATATTAGGAATATAAATGAGAATAAAAGAAGTAAGTATCAACAATTTTGATATAAAACGAAAACAAAATTTAAATAGCACAGAGATTATAAATCTAATCTCTTTGAATTTACTATGAAGGATTGAATAATATAAATATCTAAGCTATAAAACAAGGTAGACATTGTATTAGCATACTCTAGCAAATCATCACATTGTTTCATTGATTAAATCATGACATCAAACAATAGAAACTGAAACCGTTCATCATTGTTTTACTTTTTTTTTGCTGAATAGTTCAACGATGACAAAACTCTTAGAGGCATCCGTACTATTCATCAAACTCTGCATATGTATAGATAAATTTTCAGAAGTTTATTTAGAAAAAAAAGGAAAAGAAAAAACTCATATTTTTATCAAAGAAGTAATCCAATGTCATCTTAATAAAACATACTTGTAGATACTTATGAATTCCAATTGTTTGTATATTTAAACTTCTTCTTCCGAAGAAATGTTATAAATACCGAAAATATACAATAGAATCGCAATCTCCTTTTCACCCTCAATACTACCTGTTAGCCATACTCTTGTAGGTAATCATAATCCTACGCTCTTTTTTTGCAATGTCAATTCAAAAGAAATTATTAATTTCTTTTTCAAAATTTTCAATCATTTTAAAAATATTGACACATTCGATAGTATTAATTATTGAGCTGTTACAGTACCGTTGAGTGTAAGTGGAAAAATCTGACGCAACTATACGTTCCATGATAATATGAACCAATAGAATTTTTAAGAAAAAAAACAATTAAATGTTATTCTCGTTCTAGTCGGATATATTTATTTTTTGGAAATTTCGAGTTTATAACCGAAGTAATTTTGATAGCAGGTAAGAAACACGATCTCTAGAAATTACTGTCGATTATGTTCAATAAAGAAAACAAATCTGTTTTATATATATAAAATAGAATGTGAACTGTAACTGTTATGAATAATACTTGAAAATTTCGTCGCATGCATAGTTACGAAGAACACATTTTCTTAGGATTATTGATCAAAATGCATGTGTTGCAATAGATTTACTAGACGTACGAAATAGAAAGCAATTTAGATGATTAGATTAAGATAAATATCTTTCTTGTTTTCTACGAATCAACCATTAACTAATAGACAGTATTTTATTTTAAACAGTTTAACTGATTTGCATTTTCGTTATTATGATTTGATGCCCTTGATGAGGTGAAAACAACTCAATTGTTTTTTAAATAAACACAATGATTCTGAAGTCTTTTGCATGCTATACTGTCTGACATTGTCTTATTACTTTTCACTATATATTTATTGTTGTAATTATATCTGAATCATCAATTGCAAGACATATTCTTATTACTCACAAATCAATTGTCAGCAAGTAGAACAACAAAAATAGTCTACGTGTTGTTTGTTTCATTTATTTTATTATACTTTCTTCTTATTATCATAATCATTCGTGCTAAACTATTGATGTGCAATAATAATTTGTCTTGGAATAATTTCTTTAATCAACACACTTCTTATTCAGGTATGAACTATCATGTAGACATTGATAAAAAAATTTATTTATTTCGAATCAATCGAATTTTGTTGTTATAACCTTGAAAAATAACTTGACTATTGCTTTGTTGTTTATTTCGTCTAGATTTTTTTTCACGCGTGAAATGATTGATTAGACAGAATTGTGAATATCGAATCGATCTTGAGTTTTATCTCATCTAGCTAATTAATAGATTTCAAATCTATTTAAAAACAAAAAACTTTTAACGAACTTGATTTGCCTTTCTTATTGCAACTAGACTAGTCATCGTTAATCTGTTTAATGATATATAGATCAACAACTTTTTCTTTAAATGTATTTTTTTGTCAGGGTTATTTGCATTTGTCATTTGTAAAATGATGAAACCATATGAATGAAACGTTTACGTTCTTAAATTATTACTTTCATTGCATACCATAGGAAGTTGATAGAAATGATCGACATTTTAAAATTTTCATTGACCCTCAAGCTGATAATCGAATGTTTTCCTTTCTTGGCTTTATAATTAACAAAACTAACAAAGAATTCTCATTTCTTATTGTCGATTAGATATATATACAATCAACAGTGGTCGGTACATTCACCGTAACCTACGTCGAACGTTATTACAAGAAATAGAATGATGGATAACTTGTTCAATTAATGACCAAGACCTATTATTTATTTATAATAGACTAGCCAGACAGACAACGTATTTCTAGTTCATTGCCTTTTAGAAGCTGATAAAAGAAGCATAAACGAGAGAGAGAGAGAGAGAAAGGAAAAAGCTACAAAGTATGAATACAAATACAAATAACAATAATATAGATACGTTTGTTGTTACTTATTTTCTTGTACACGTAGTCGATTCGTTTAAAATGTAAACCCTAATATCCTTATCTATCATCACGAGCAATCGATCATCAGCTTAGAATAAAACGAAAGCGACTTTTCTTTGGTGCTTGCAATATACAAGGATAAGAAAGCGAACAGGTAGAAAAAATAAAAAATACTCCGCGGCGGGGAATCGAACCCCGGTTTCCCGCGTGACAGGCGGGGATACTAACCACTATACTACCGCGGACATTATTCATCTATAAACAATTTCAAATGATTGAAAGCATATTGCATTGATATACAGTTACTCAAACATATATTTTCATTTTAGTTAATAGAATCAGTCAGACTATATCACATAATTGATAATAATAAAAATATAAAACACTTACACGCATTTTGCAAGAAGACGTTTTTTTGTAGTACTCCAAATGGACTTCTATTCACTCAAAAGACAGGCATTTGTATTACATATAATCGTCAAACATGTACAAGTAATCAGCAATAAGGTCTGTTGATTTATGTAGAAGTAGTCATTGAGCGCATCATGAAACAGCCGGCGACCGCCAAATTTTTTCAGCTCATTGCGCTCTGCTTCTCTCTCTCTCTCTCTCTCTTTCTTTCTTTTCACTTTTCTTGTTGTGTCTCTTTCTCTTACTCTCTTTCCTCTAATGGGAATGTAAAAATCGACAAATTGCTTTTGTGTAGAATACCAAAATCATATTTTACATTCAACAAGAAACCGGATTAAAAAGCAAATTGGTATTACGAGGAGTTCATTTTTCTATGTCAACGACTCCTCTGTATAGTATTTCAGTATAATCAATAACAGACATTAAAGACGATCAATGCCGGTGATCTGTAGAAATACCTTAGAAAGTGTGACATGACGTTGTGTGATAAAAATAAAAATAGCTAAAAGCACGTTGCTATTATTTATTTTTGTTGATTTATTTTTACAGAATAAATTATCTATGAGATCAAATTGAATTCTTGTAGATGTCTGCATGTATTTTTATTATAATGCAAATCGACTCAAGGAACGTAAAAAAATGTACAAAGCAAAAACTAGCATTTTGCTTTTGCTCACTATTTGTTTATTTAGAATGTTGTCGGCGATCGTGTTATGATGTTGCCGAAGTTATGTTATGATTATCTGTTGAGCGTTGTCTTTTGATATATGATTGATAAGTAATGGCTTTTATTTTACTAGAATGTACCCATCGAGTTGATTTATTATATCCGCTTCTTAAGTTTTACGCAGGCTTAAAAAAGAAGCAAAGCATATATCGAAGGATGGCTTCCGTATTTAATAGTGCAGAATGTATTATATTCATTGGGTGCAATACTGAAGATTTTGTATTTATTTCTTCCTATGAAAAAGCTTTTCGAGCGTTAAAAGTTCAATATTGTCTCGAGGCAAAAACTAGTGCGCAACATATAGTTAGTTGAATATTTTATAAAGAATAAAATAAAAATCCTGTTTGAATTTCAAAATAATGTGGTATGATCAATGGCAAACGACATACCGATTGAATCGGTAAGACAACAGATTATTTCTCATACAAATCATAATATGATTTTACTATAAGCACAAATTTTTATTTACAGTATTGATAGAAAAAATATTATTATTCACTCGTATGAGAAAGAAAATCTGACTAGGATTGCTTTATTCGATAACAAAAGTTGCGTATTTATATTTATCTTATATGAAAGTTGTATTTATATGCACTATTATTTTTTCTTTTTGGAAGAAATGGAAAATAAACAATTTAAAAGAAACGAAGAAGGTTTTACGTTCATATCTTCAAGGCATCTTTTATTATTTCAATGAAATACACAATATTCTTTTTTTTTTTACAAAATCAATGCGCTTTTGAAATTGATGAAATTATGAACATAATAAAGCGTATATCCAAAATCGAATGAACGAAAAAGAAAACTAAACATGCATAAGTAATTTTTAAGAATAGCACCGTATTCACATAAACATCCAATATCAATGTTTTCTTTTATTAAAAGAGATATTTTAAGCGAAATCGTTGAAAACTTAAACCAAATTTTGTACTATTATCACGTAGTGTTTAAATCAGATGTACTTGATCCTGTTGAATCTTGAGCTTTTCGAACTGATAATAATTGTTTCAGTATAATGTCTAAATTGATTTCTGTCTCTAAAACTTGTTTGGCTTGTGAACATAATACGTTAAGAATATCAAGTAATTTTCCAAGTTCAACAAAAATCTGCTGATTTAATACATTTTCATTATAATCATTTTCTTCATTTTTATTGCTTTCATGTTTTTTTAATATCGAATCATTATCCATAAATTCACATTTGATAATATTTGATCTTAGCCATTTTATACTCGGTACAGTAGATTCAATATAGATGAGTTCACGAATTCGATAAGCATCTAAAATAATTTAATCGATGAAATAACTTTTAATAAGAAACAAAAAACAATTTATATTTAAAAACTCTTACTGGCTTTTGCTCGCGCATTTTCCATAGAAATATGTATGTCACCAATCGTTAAACCTAATAAAAGATTCATGAAAACAAAGGTCATTATAACAATAAATGGTATAAAAAGCAAAGACGCTGCTAAAAAAGTTGGTTTCGAGAAAAAAAACGTTTCATAATCGTATTCTCCGATAAGCATTGCTGTCAGTTTATGCATCGATGTCGTAATAGTTAAGAATGCTGAATGATTAAAAAATATCATTTTTGTTGCAATTGTAAATGCTATGAGTAATGGCAAAATAACAAATATTAAGGAAAAAAAGTTAAGTAATATTGATTGGAACATAACAATAAAATTTCCAATAAATGGAACTGAACGTAACATGAATGCTATATTAAACCATTGCAATAATGTTGACAGTGCTGCTAATTGCCATTGGCAATCTATGATTTGATCGGTGTTTTCATATGGTATAAAAGCCATGATTGATGTTAAAAATGAAATCATACTAAACAATTGCGCAAATGGCACACGTAAACCACGATAGAAAATTATTTCTAGAAGTATTTTAAATAAATTCATTCCAGCTAAAATCAATATAATCCATCTCATTGGTAGTATTAAGTTTTTAATTAACGGTGAAGATATAGGTTTTGGTGATTTTATATTGGGCGCAGACACAGTAAGAACATAGAATGTTAAACAAAGTAATAATAAAAATGTTAGTATACGAGTTGCATAAAAAAATGGACGATATAGTTTCCATTTACGTAATATAAGTTGTCGAGCTAAAGGATGTTCAAGTAGAGAATGATGTTCACTATCAAGCGCGATTATAAATGGATGATTACGATAAAGTTGATTACTATTTGTAGTATATAATTGAACATCATTCCTAATAATAAAAATAAGAATTAAACAATAGCGATCCATTACACTGTTCAGTATTCAAATTATAAAGTAACATGTTTAGGTGATCAACTTCGTTTTTCTTCACAGTTTTGAATATATGAAACTAGAGAGCTGTTAGAGTAGAACTTCTACTCATGTTTACATTTGACCGTTGTATCGCTGCTCCAACAGGATTTCTTTTCTTAAAATTTCAGCTCAAGACGAAGAACCTACTCAGGCTATCTCACATATAGATTAGTTTTAGATATCATATAGCTAAGCAAAAACATATATCTTTTTCTTCAAATGCTATGCAAGATATGGATATATTGATATCTTGACAATGTGATATGTAAAACTGATGTATACGAGATAGCATAATCGAATTTTCCGTCTATATTAAACTTGACGGTAAACTTCCAAAATATGTTTTTTGTTTTTCCAATAGAACTCGTACAGAAAAAAAACCATAAAATAAATTTTATCATGGTTAAAACTACACATGAGCAAGAATCCTTTGAAGTTTACGCTACCATAATAGTCATCGAATTATGACGGTCAACTGAGTCGATCACGTAAAACTATTCTTCCGTTGTAAATAATAGCTAATCTTAAACAACTATTAGATAATAACCTAATACATATGTTGTTTTCGTTAGAAAATTAGTGTTTTTTTATCAACGAAAAGAGAAAGTATAACACTCGTGCACTTATCTATTATAGTTAATGTATTTTTACTTACAGAAAATAATCATCAATATATTCATATTTATATGTAATTCTTTCGAATGTATTTTCATTGAGATCTATTTCATTTGTTGTTAGTATTAATTTATCAAATGCATGTTTTGCACATTGAGGAATATATCGTATCATATCTCTTAATGGTGTTTGATGATAATATTGTTTTGTTTTTCTTACTGGTGTAAGCCAATTTTCTATATTTGGATGTTCTAGAAGTACATGAATGGTTTCAATTTGTCTATATTTAATTGCTATTTCTAACGGATTTTCTTCTTCTTCTTCTTCTTCTTTTTGTTCTTTATCATTATTATTATTCTCATGATCTAGTCCGATATTTTGTGAAAGTAAAAGACGAACAATATCAACAAAGCCATTTCGGCAAGCCGTTATCAAAGGCGATTGTCTTCTTGATAGAGCTGATTCAAAATCAACCATATTTCTTGCCGAAGCTTTTATTAATAAATCAACACATTCACTATGACCATTTTGTATAGCAACATGAAGTGCTAATTGTCCAAGATAATTTGGAAGTAAAACATCAACACCATATTTAAGAAGAATTTCTACACATGCTGTATGACCCTGTTCGGCAGCTAAATGTAATGGTGTTTTTCCATCTTCATTTTGTGCATCAATATATAAATATAATGTTGATGATGTTTGTGAAATATTTACTAGTTCAGAATTTGCTCTTACTATTGAATAATTGCGACTACTCATTGATATTAATTTGTCAGATTGTGTCATTTTTTCACACAGAAATTCAATTAATTTCGAGTGATTATTTCTTGCAGCTATATGAAATGCATTCATACGTTGTTTATCTATTGTATCCCAACGAACATTTGGATGCGTTAATAGTGATGAACACATATCAATAGAACCTGTTTGAGCAGCTACTAGAAATATTGTACGATTATCTTTTTTTGTTACTTGATCAAATACTTTCAATAATTGATCACTGATACCCAATAGTAAATGTTCAACAATCATTTTTTGACCTTTCGATACTGCAATCATTAATACGTTCATATGATTATTATCAATACTTGAAATATCAGCACCAGATGCAATTAATTCATTGACAATATCGAGTTGTGTTGTTACAGATAAAGCTGTTTGACCATGACGATCTTTTATTTCTAATAAAGATGATTGACTTAGAGAAAGTAGTTTTTGAACGATCGGAAGTCGATTTGCAGCACTAGCGATATGAAGTGATGATTGATGATGTGAATTCAATATCAATGGATCGGCTCCAAATTGATGAAGAAGGTTGATCATGGATGGATCGCAAAATTTTGCTAGAAAAAAAATCAACATAATAATTAAAATATTAACACAATATTTTCTATTAAATATATGTTCATTGAGTTAAAATTGTTCAAAATTTATACTACGTAATTCTTCTCATTCATTATCAAATGTCTATTACCTGCTATATGTAGAGGAGTTCCAAATGATTCTATTTTATCATTGACTAACATTTCTAAAGCATCACCATGAAATTCACTAAGAATATATTGAACGGATAGAGTATTTCCATGTTGTACTGCCAAATGTAAGCATGTTGCTTTTGCATTTGTTTTCATCTGAACAAATTTTTGAAAATTAATTTCGTCCTTTGATTTAATCAATTTTATTATATCTAAATGACCTTTAGCACATGCATAATGCAAGGGTATGCATTCATCTGCATCAATAGCATCGATTTTTGCACCACATTCAATTAAATATTCAACGATTGATAAAAAACCTTCTTTACATGCTAAATGTAATGGATGTATATCTTGGCGATCTGATGCCTAGATCAAATAAGCATTAAAATATTTACAAATTACCATTTCTCGTTGCCTAAAACTTACTTCAATATTTGCATTCAATTTTATTAATTGTTTAACACCAGCAAGATTATTCCGAGCTACAGCATAATGAAGTGGTGTGAGAAGAAATTTATCACGTGCATTAACATTTCCACTGGCTAGAGCAAATAAATAAATTAATGGATGATCCTTTGAAAAGATTTTATTTTTATATTCATCTTGCCAAATGTCAACGTCTAGAATCTATACGGTGAAAAAAGCAAATTAAGAAATCAATAAAATTCATGAACTACTTTATTGTCAAAATCCGTTTCGATGTCAAATGGTTTTTCTTGCTTAGAACTATTGGTATTTAAAAGATTCGAAGGACGAAATGCTGAATGCATCGGCGTTCTACCATTTGCATCTTTAATATTAATACCAAATCTATTTAAATAGAAAATAATAATAGTTATTTTCATTGCATAACCATTACTTTTGGCCTTACCGAAAATCAATACTCGATAAAAGCATAAGACAAACATCCAATTGTTGATACCGAGCAGCGTGATGTAAGGGTGAAAGGCCTGTTTCTAAATCAAGTCGATCAGCTATTTCAGCTGCATGTTTACCACAGCTCAATGTCTGCAGACTGTACTCTTTAAATTCACGTAAACGATCAATATCCCCTTCACGACATACCTGCAGAAACTACACATTATATTTGACGGTGAACAATGACGATAGACTTACTTGACTAACCATACTGGTGTTCCAATCGCCTGTTTTAGGAATGGCCGATTGTCTTCGTTCGAGTTCATCGGATTGAGTAGCAACTAGTAAATGACCTCCGATAATGTTTACATCGTCTCTATCAACCGAAGGATTCGATAACAGCAGAGGTTGACCTGAATTTTCACCCATCATATTCTTATCACATTTAAAATAAAGTGATCACTCAGCTTTTTTTTTTCTTTCTTCCTTGCTGCCAGATTCTTTCTGTTCGAGCACTAAGTGAAATCACATCGTATTCTTTTTTTCTCTTGTTACTACCGTTTTTTATTTTATGGAAATATAAAATGACAACGCATGGACTGCATAGAAAGAAAAAAACATTTTCGTTCTTTTGTATTTGCGCACTCATGAAACGAGTGAAAATGTATAATAAAAAAAAGAAAAGATCTTACCTTTTTTCGTACGTATTGATGTTGACAAACGTCAAGAATTTATATTCATAAAATGAATGTATATTTTTAATTCAATATAGAAATTAATTTAATTTAAGAAGTAAAAATAGCAGCAGTGTTGTAATCTCATCCAAAGTTTTGATACTGGTTTAGCCAAAAAAAAGAAAAATGGATATGAAGTTCTCTAAGTGCCCATATCTTGATTTTCAAACAACAAATGACGCATACCGATGAAGAATATAACATTGAAGATACGATTACTAAAGTGCGTCGAGATCTAAAGCAATATGCAAATCTTCTAATATGCTAAATCTGTGGTTTCATTGACATTATTTAATATTCTAGTTTTTAATCCATTGGAGATGACTTGTCAGTGACTTTGCGATAAACTTAGAGTATTCAAAGATATGCATTGCAAACGAAGCGACAATTAGTTTTATCTTTTAAATAGTATGACTGCCAAATTGATTGCATTATCTGTCTAAATATTGATAAACAAAAAGGCGTGAAATAGTGTTTTGTGATTGAATTGATTCATCGAAAATCAATGGCCAAAGGCAAATTGTAAAATATTGCTATGTTTAATGAATTCTTTTAGAATAAATGCTGAGTAATATTCATCTGAAACAATTTTTGTCTTTCATTTCAATAAAACAACACAGATGATTTGACATTTCGTGTTCTACCGATAGAAGATAGTTGTTGATCTTATATATGTAGTTAGTCGAAAGCAAAAAACATAGTCGTAGTGTAGTTTTATCACTACAAGGTCTTTGTAATTTAATCATTGTCTATATAACGAACATAAAAACATATGAAACTAGTAAGACTGGCCATAGAATGGAACAAATCACAAGTTTCTTATCGGTCTTAGTCATTATTTTGAGTTTAGTTCATCAAAACGAAACAAGAGAAAATGAATTCAACAATGAAATTATATTAAAACGACTTCGTCGAATTATACGAGGTCATGTAGCAAAACCAGGACAAGTAAAAATAATATTTATTTTTAATTCATTGTTAACATTATATTTCATATCTGATTTTTTTGTTCTAGTTTCCGTATCAAGTATCTATTAATAATAATGGAGATCATTTTTGTGGCGGCGCTTTAATTCATAAAAAATGGGTATTAAGTGCAGCACATTGTCTTAAATAGTCAGTATCTTTGCGTTTTTCTTTAAATACATTCAAATACATTTCATAAAAGTATATATATATATATACATTTAGTTTTACATCAATGCAAAATTTTTATGTTATTATGGGTGCTACCTATTTAGATCAAGCTGATCCAAAGCATGTACAAATTTCGCGTATTGATGCACATTTTCTATTTCCAAGATATGATCCTTGGTAGTAATACCGTTTAAATTTTTCTTCATCAATTATCTTCTTTTTCTTTTATTAACATTCATTTTCTATGTTCAATATATAGGGGTGACCCAAAAGATGGCAATATAACTCGAAACGATCATGATTTAGTCCTATTGAAATTACAAAATCCTGCTCGATACACTAATCGTGTTCGACCTATTCAATTGCCTGATCCAAAAAATCACCAGATAAGTCTTGAAAATAAACAACAATGTATCGTATCAGGTTTTGGTACTATCAAAGATGCACGTCAAAGTCATGTACTCAAATATCTAACAGTACCTATTGTTGATCGTGATCAATGGTATTTATTTTTGTTTTGCATTAAAATTTTATCATTGAATATTTTCTCTTAGTGCTCGAGGTCATCGACCAAGACGTATCAAAGATTTTCATATTTGTGCTGGTTATTGGCATGGTGGCAGTGATGCATGCAATGGAGATTCTGGTGGTCCAATAGCTTGCTATTCAAATCGAGAACGTATATTAGTAGGTATTGTATCATGGGGTGTAGAATGTGCTCGTCATGGTACCTATGGTGTTTATACACGTGTGTCACGTTATCTTAAATGGATTAATCAAACAATTGAACGACACAATTAAGAAATAAAACACAAAAAGAAAACAGAAGAAAAAAACCAACGATTGGCTTTAATACAACCAGGCATGTGTAAACCAATTGCTTAACTTCACAAATTTTACACTTTTTTTATACAAAAAAAAGAACTGCTTGCATGAAAATATTTTTGTTTTTAATATAAAAGAACAAATCACAAAAATATTTAACTAGTTATCAGTTATGTTCTTGTCTTCCGTGAGAAATTTTTAGTGTCACATTTCGAATAATTATATCTAAATGGATTATGTGTTCGTGGTAATGAACTATTTTGCTCGTTTGTTAACGTAAATATTGAAGTTTTCTTTTGACGATATTTTAAAAATATACATAGAGTAACAATGATTATCATCAAAACTAATGAAAATGTGCCAATCGCAATAATTGCTTTTAAACTTTCGCTTAAAAATTGATTATATGTCTTCTGGAAATCACTTATTGTATATTGATGAGTGTTTATTTTATTATTATTATTATTATTTATTTTTATAGTATTCATAGCTACTTGATGAAAACTGCTTGTAGTAATATTTCGACGTGTTCTATTAAGAAGAGATCCGAATTTAGCGGCAGCACGACGTATTTGAACTAAATCATAAATTGCTCTTGATGAAACTACAGTTCGATTAGAATACATATGTTGAATATCCATCGATTGTGAATGTGTAAATATCGAGTTTAGTAGAAGTATGCCGTAGAAATGAAACATAATACCTATAATAGAAGGTAACCTTCGTTTTTCGCGTCTAGTTATGCACACCGCATGCATATTTGTCTCAAACAAGCTAATACAACTTAACAGAACAAGAAACAGATTGCAAACCACCAACAGATCTGTTTAAGTGTTTTATTGCGTGTATATAAGTTGTCTCATGTGTTCGTCTTTCTCTAAGAGCTATCGAAATACAAATGATGATTGCGAAAGGAGAAAAAAAATAAACGTAATGAGTTACAATAAGAGCAAACGCTCAGCATTCTTTTTCGATGGTAAATATGTATGCATGCACATTCTTTCTAAAGCAAGTTTTTTTTTTGTTTTACCTTTCTCTCTTTTCTTGTCGTTTTTCTTCTCCTAGCTTATTGACTGGTATCGAATCTTGCTTGTTTTATTTCTGTACCATTTATTATCGTATAAAATAATAGAACGGCATTTATACTATTAGACAAGGTATCGTTACCTGACATAATGAATTCTTATCGAGTTTCCATCGACTTAAGAGGCAATATGAGATGATGAAAGAAAACCATATTGACATTTTCTTTTTCAATGAATGCAAAGAGCGACACGACTCATTGACAAAGCGTTTGCAATGTTAAATAAATAAATAAATAGATAGGTTTTTCATTGTTATTGAAGCAAAGTTTCTATTTGATCGATTTTTTTTATTTCTTTTTCTTTTATTTTTCGTTGTCTTCATCAGTAAAAAAAAACATTAAAAAAATTTGATAGAAAACAACTGTTATACATTTTGAAATGCTGCTCGCTGGTTATGATGAAGATTAAATAATCACTTTGAATTTGATACATCGTCAAAATTTTCAACAAGATCTTTGAAATAAAATAAAATAGAAGGATTTCTTAATTAAGATATCTACATACCGGGTACTTCATCATCAGCATCAGCACCTGTTTGCTCACTTTGTTCATTACCTGATTGTTGTTGATCATTGTGTGTTGGAAATTTACGTCGACCTGCTTCGCTTGCTAAAACATTATCGGTTGACATACCCATTTGGGACATAATCGTCGGTAACATCTCTTGTAGAGCTAACAAAAAAAAATTATGAAAAACAACAATACTATTATGCAAATGCTCACATTTTGTGTCCGAATGGCCGCTTATAGCAAAAGTGTTTGAACTAAGCGAGGCTTGTACTTTAGGATTTGAAAAATGTATGACTTCACCATTGTCTTTAAACATGTTAACCTATTAAATTGAACAAAAATAAATCTCTAGAAAAAAAAAACTTTTGCTCTAAAATTCAATAACCTCTTCAATGCCTTGAATATTATTAGCAGCAAGTTTTTTCAATGAACTTTGTAATTTCTTATCGTCAGCATTAGCTGGGCGATGAATAATTTTCTTTTTCCGACGAGCTGTACCCTGAACGAAAAAAGAATCCATCAGATATAAATTTTGAAATAATAACCATAAGCAACAAACTTTGCCACCGATTTTAATTGCATTGGCATTTTCAGCAAGTTCTTTTAACTTTTTTTGATTAAGTTGAAATACTGGCGCAGCATCAGTTGATGCAATCGACGTTGTTGTCTTCTGATCCGAGGACATCTTTTTATTTTTTTTTTCTGAAATATAACCATATATTAAATGGTTGATTATTATTTATCCCAAGATCAATGAGAAAAACAGAATGAAATAATACAGAAAAAGACATGAGATATGAATTCAGAAAAAAAAAACATATTGCAAGAAAAAAAATCAAATAGACAAAACACTGTTGTCAAATATATAGTATATGATATAATAATTCAACTAATAATGAAGTTTTGTAGTAGCAAAAAATGGAACAAAAGACAAAAAAAAATCGCAAACGCGCAATAAAGAAAAGAAAAGGAATTTCAAACAAATATATAGTGTGATTAGATGAAAGCGCGAGGCAGGAATGGAGCAGCAGGGGCAAAACGAAAGAATAAATATTGAAAAAAAAAGGAAATTTCAATTATCTGACGCCTGCTGCGTTTTGAAACGTTTGTTTATTTAACATCGAGATAGTTAATATATATAAATAAATATAAATATATATATATATATATATATATATATATAGTGGGAGAAAAAGATCGCTAGGTTCTTCGAGGTGTAGTAGATGTTATTTGTAAAGCGCGTTTAGCTTTACGTTTAAAAAAACAACATGTAGGTTCTGATGGAGGACCAATTATAGATGAATGCTGTTCTTTACTTATATGTGTATTATTAGAATTATTTACATTAGCTGGTTGCTGTTGTTGATGTGTATGGTGATAGGAATAATAAGGTAATGGTGGAGGTGGTGGTACTAAACCACGACGTTTTGTTGGTGGTGGTCCTGGCCGATGATTTTCTGTTGCTGTTCGCGATGATGATGATGATGGAAGTGTCAATTGAACTTTATTTGTACTTGCCATTGATAAAGTTGTTTTTGAACCTCCATTCAATGTTGCTGTGGTTGGATTTGTGGAACGATTTGTTGAACTTAATGGTAATTGACGATTATATGTACTGCGTTGCACTGTTGTTGAACGATTACGAGATTCATTATTATTATTATTAGTAGTAGTAGTAGTACTATTATGACGGGCTGTTGAAGTTTGTATAGTTGATGCTGATGGATTTGTTAGTGTATTTGTATTTTTATTCGTATTACCAGTAGTTATACCAGTTGATAGTACTGTTGGAACATTCGTTAGAGTTGTACCAGCAATAGTTGTATTCGTTGCTGTTGTTGTCGTTTTACTACGATTTAATCGATGTTCTTGTAAACGTTTAACCCAATCGAAATCCCCATCATTAACGAGATTATTTTCATTGAGTGCATTATGAAATAAACGACGTAATCCATCGTACTAGAATTAATATATGTTTGTTTTGTAAAATAAAATATCACAGATTTAAAAATAAAAAACAAAATAACAACATACATCAGGTTCCTGAGAAAATTCCATTTGACGTACAGTTCGTATATAAATTAAGAATTGACGAGGATACCCTTCACATAGCATTTCATTCGTAGTAAAGCGTTTTGTATCGCCAATTTTTTGATAACGTTCTTTTAATGTGTCTGCTTTTAAGCCTTGCCACTAAAAGAAAGAAAGAAAAAAATAATTATGATGATTAACTAGCTGATTTTCGACATGGATCCTTATTTTGTTTTTCTTCTGTCATTTAAAAAAAAATGTCAAAATTATGCTCAGTTTTTAACTGAAAATTATTCTTCGAATTACCAAAAACAAAAAGAGAATAAGTTGAGCTCAACAAGAATCAACTTAAAGTTTATAAATGGTTGATAATTAAAAGTGAGCATAAAATGAAATTTCACTATCATACCGGTAGACTACCCCGCAAGAAATACATAAACATATAACCCAATGCTTCTAAATCATCTCGACGACTTTGTTCTCGACCTTTAAAAAAAGGATATAATGATTTATAAATAATTTTTTATTAAGACAAGCTATACCAAGATGTGTGTTGATCGACATGTATCGAGCGGTACCTATATATTTATATGTATATATATACATAAATTAATTTCTAGTAAATAAAACTGTCTCATTACCAGTTAAACTTTTATGTTCACGATATGGTATATGTATTCCATCGCCTGTTCGATATTCTTTAGCTAAACCAAAATCCACAATATGTATAATATGTTGTCGATTTGTACTACCACGTCCAATTAGGAAGTTCTCTGGTTTAATACTAGAAGAAGACAAAGAAAAAAAAATGCAAACTCATAAAATTAATGTATATCGTTTTGTAAACACATTTCTTACTCTCGATAGATCAAACTTTTCGAGTGCACATATTCAATTCTATCTAATAATTGCAATGCAATCATTAAAACTGTTTTTAATGCGAAGCGTCTTGAACATAAATCAAATAGATCTTCTAATGATGGTCCCAATAATTCCATGACAAGTGCATTACATGGACCAGCTTGACCATAAAAGTGTACTAGTGGAACTCCATCGTGCTTGCCTAACATCGAATAAAAACGATATTCATGTGATAATTGTGGTGTACGCGTTGACGTTTGTTCTAATTTGATTGCAACATGTTCATGTGTTTCAGTATTACGACCTAAATGAATTTCACCAAAGTTACCCGAGCCTAGAATACGTCCTATTTGATAATGTGAACCAAGTGTTGTAGTTGAACGTAATAAACGATTCGTTGTTGTTGAACGTGAACCCGCACCCACACCTGCACTTGGACCATTACCAACACCACTCGGATTCGAATTCATTAGATGGAAAAGTTTTTTAAGTTTTCGAACAACAAAGACAATTGATGAATAAAGAGTAAAAAAACAAAAAAAAATTTATTATATATTTCTTGTATCACTTCTTTTCTTCATTCGATCGATGCCATAGAATCTAAATATGAAAAAAAAAAGAATGACTACTTGTTCATCGTATGATTCTCCTTGTTAAAATATTCAAACATACATACATACACACGCACACGTTCAATATTACATAAAAGAGAATACGAATGTTCTCTTTCTCTCATCTACATAGGTTGCTGCGTCCTTTTTTCTTCTTTTTTTATATTTAAATTTTTTTCTCTCATTCTATTGTGGGTCACAGGCGATTCATACATATTTGGTGATTTATGATACGGCTTTTTCAACAAAATACTCTTACCTCGACAATGGTTTAAGAAAATAATCGTTGAAAAAAAATATTGATTAATATATGATAACATTATTTATCGAACAAAATAATAAAGGACGGAAAAAGAAAATGAACAGTTTCCACTGATGTGAACACGTCTAAAATAAGACAAATATTAAACGGTGATTAAAAGTAAAATCTCATCGTGATAAGAAAACATATTTTAGGTTATTTCCCCTCCCATAATTAAAACAATATTAAAATGAACGATACTATATGAGAATTGAGAAAGGGAGAGACACACACAGAGAAAACTTCCAAGGATGATTTATTCTATATGAGAAAAAGGTATATATTGGATGGATACGTTTTTTGAACAAACAAATATTCAACTGTTGTGTTTTTTGATCTACTATTCAATTTAATCGTTTACAATTTTTAATATGAAATCATAAATTCTAGAGAAAAAAAAGGTTTATTTATCACAACTCTTTTGTTTGATAGAGTTCTCAATTGAAAGAGGGCGCTACTTGATCGTTTGACTTCGATTAGATAACCTTGTCAACTAGGTAAAAATTTCCATCAGCTTGAAGTACTTCAACATCTACTTGACTCTATTCTGTATATATTTTTATAAGATTGAACAGTAATAACCTTCGAAATAAGAAAAATAGTTAACGTTTTTCTGTTAATAGAAAAAAAGAAAGAATATCAACACAGTTTTAGCACTATATGCAAATAATGATATTAAGTATTCACACTCTTTTATTCTAATAGAAGCATCGCTAGCTATTAATTTATATTCAATTTTTTTTCAAAGCTAATCTTACCATAAAACAAATAAATTAATCGCTTTTGAAATATTTAAGAAAAGAAATTTCCGATCGAAAGTATATAGCCATAGATGATATGATTCTCAAATACTAATTAAGAATGCGCCTTTTTTAAAATTTAAACGATGGAAGCTGAATAACACTACTCTTAGTATCATATTCAAAGTGCATCGATGTCCCTGTAGGCGTTGAGTTTACTTCTCGGATTTCATACTTTTTGCGTAGCTAAGGACATGTAGTTATTTTCAAGAAAGTTGTGTAAAACTCTTCCGATGCTTTCTATCATTCTTGTTGAAGAAAAACCATGCGGAAAAACTACATAGACGCTATTACCTACTTTAGTTATTATCTTAATATGTGAATAATTTAATGTTCATTGTTACAAGAATATTTTTCATGTGTACGAAGGAAGAAAATGATGTCTTGCAAGCCTGTAAGTATTCATTTTTATTTGAGCGACAGACTATGTTTACGGAAATAATAATATACTTACAAAAGCGTATCATAATCGAATAAGACTCATTGCAATGTGAGAGACTAGTAATTATGTATGTACTTTCTATGAGAATTAAAGATGGAACTATGTAAACTTGGAGTTAATATAAGGTTCTACGCGAATAAAACTTGTTAGCTCGATAGTTCTACTTCGATTCTAAACTTCAATTCTAGGAATTCAAAATTATTGTTAAATTTTAAATTTTAAATTTTAAAGTTAAATAGAAATGGTATGACTTGAAAGAGGTAATTATTAGGTCATGCTGTTGAGAATATTTTTTAGGCTTACTAAAAATTTGATGCAATTAGAGCTATATTCTGCATTGTCTCCCATTACGCCCTAGATAGATTATGAGAGCATTATTTTCTCAAAAGTATTGAATATTACATAGAAAATTTCTTTCTTCAATTTTGAGAAAGTTCTGCATTCAATTTTTCTCTAATTTTTTTTCAAGATCCATAGCTAAATAACGATTTATATTACTAAAAATCTGAACAGGATTTTTAATATCTGGAGTTTTTTTTTCTAGCAATGCAATTCTGATTTATTCTTTGAATGTGTTAGTGAAGACTTTCCACTGAAGTGCAGGCTTAATTAGTCCTCTTTGCTAGTAGTTAATGAAATTGAGACTGTAACAAAAAACAGCAGTACTCAACTAGACAAGAATTTCCGAAAACGCGTTTAAACACACAGAAAAATGCAAGAAATCGGCAAAAAGTGGACGTTCGTAGATCACAATCGAGGTTCCCAATTGTGAGCGAAAAACACACAACTTTGGTTCTTTTTGCGCGTTTTCCGGCAAGAAACCTGTGTAAACACAGAAAAAGAACACATAAGTGACCATTTGTGTTTATGCCTGATAACCAGAATTATTATTACAGTCATGTTCTCGGATATTAAAACAAGAAATCATTTTTTTCGGCGTTTTCACAGGTTTTTCGACGGAAAATGCGTTTAAACACACAAAAAGAATCAAAGCTGTGCGTTTTTCGCTCACGATCGGGAACCTCGATCGTGATCCACAAACGTTCACTTTTTGCCGATTTCTTGCATTTTTCTGTGTGTTTAAACGCGTTTTCGGATATTCTTGTCTGCTTTGGTAATGACCCCGCAGCCTGTATGATATATATATATATCAACTCAAATTATAAAAAACTCTCCGGTAACTACAATGTCACCGTTGTTGTTAGCTATTTTTAGAAAGCGGTGTGCAGATTTGACAGATTTTAATAGAATCCAACACAATTATAACTTTGACTAACAACTATCTTGAGCATGATCATCAACTGGGATGAAAACATCTCCACTACAAGGGATTTTAAGACAAGATTGGGCATTTGATAAGCATGCATTCGTACTTTCAAACAAATATGTGAAACGACTTTATTTCACATTTTGACATAATAAATAGAGTACATTTAAATAAATTAGAGACACACTAATTCCTAGTACATGGTTCGAAAGATGATATTTTTGCCTGATGAAGAACGCAGTTATCCGCGCTATTTCATAGATTAGTCAAGATTAGTTTTTTTTCGCTCCATCCGAAGCTGCAGTCGGAATTTATAAAAGATTTTAACAGGCCTTCGGATTTTACCTGGATTTTACATAAAATTAGAATTTGTAAGTTTTGCGCGCTTAAATTCTGCGAAATCCAACTCAATTTCAGACTTGCCGTTTGTACTAGGCAAAGTTTAAGAATATATTTGAAGAATGCATTCAAAACTGAACAGAAATAATATGAAAAAAGATACTCGGTCTATAACTCTCAATACTGAAAACAAGCAAACATTAGATCAAAAATTTCAGGAATTGCTTTTTCCCCTGTATAAAAAAGAACATGCTCGTCATTCGCAGTTATCAACCGAGCATCCTTTTTCATATTATTTCTGTTCAGTGTTGAACGTTCTCTTCAAATCTATTCTTAGATTTTGTTAGCGGCGGAGCCAGGATTTTGCACTGGGAGGAGTTCATGAGCGGCTAAAAATTACCTGAGGGAACTTAATCCCCCTCACCCACCCCATGGATTCGCCACTAGATTTTGTCTAATACAAACTGCCAGTCTGAAATTGAGTTAGATTTCACAGCATTTGAACCCAATAAAATTTGAAAATTCTAATTTTATGTAAAATGCACGTAAAATCCGAAGCATTTTTTAAAATCTTTCATAAATTCCGACTATGGTTTCAGAGAAGGCGAAAAAACTGATCTTGACTGCTGTATGGAATCAGAGGACAACTGTGTTCTTTACCAGGCAAAAATGTCATCTATCAGACCATCTACTAGCAATTGTTCCATCTCTATATATCATATTGGGATGAAAAATGAATAAAAACATCAAAATGCATTAAAAAAAATGAAAATATAAATAAAAATTGTCGATATCAATGATAGAGGACGGCGGCAGCTAATAAATTTTGAAATTTCGCATGCCATCGGCGACGCGGCGGTTATAATTAGAGCGCCTCAGCGGTGACGGCTCAAAAAATCTTAAAATTTCCACTACCCCGGCGGCGGCGGCGGCTCAGCCCCACGGCTGACACCTCTATTTGTATGTTTTCAGAAATATTTCCTTTTGAATTCAGACACTGGTATACTGATATTCGAATTAAATTGAATAATATTTTTTACAGATTCAAGTTCATCTTTTAGTATTCGTTTTTTAAATGAATTCGATGATGAAAAGAAAAGAAAAAGTTTTTTCAATCTTCGCTGTAAAAAAAAGTGACAAGAAAACAATCAATTATTGTGAAAATATACATATAACATAGCAATATTAATCGATAATCATCTGATCGGCTCCATTATTATTGGCTCCACGATGCATTGGTTGTTCCGAAACATTCATCATTGCTTTGAAATGCTTAAAAAGATAATAGCAGAAAAATATATTGTGATACATATGTTTTTCTTTTTATATTACTTCAGAATTTTTGAATCCAAGATAGAGTGTAAATAAAGCATTTAATGATTGAATACGTGATTCATACACAGGAATATCCAGAAGTGCTTAAGATAAGTAGAGATCAAATATATTAACGAATAATAATATTTTACATACAACATGCAATATCAGCGTATGTAGCTAAGTCTGTATCAACATCAGCAGGTGGTACCGATGTCTAGAAGAGACAGAAAATTATTTAATACACCATAATTGCTTAAAAATAATAAACCTCTTTAAGAAGTTCTTCAAATTGAACTGGCCATTCTTGCATTAAACTATCAATATCGGGCATAGGTCTATAAGAATATAAGGTCATAATTTATAAATTTATAATTTTCTTTGTTGACAAACTTTCGATATTGAATAGTATCAACTGTCTTGGCTTTTTGTAATTTACTAATATTATGTACCCATTCTTCAATTGCTTTTGGATTTTTGTCAGCATTTGATACACGTCTAATAGCCTATGAAGAAAATTTACGCAAGAAGAAAAATAACTCCAATAAATATCGATATTTGCATTCCGTTCTACTCACATTTGTTAAACTTGTACTTATAGGTTGTTTGGATGTATAACGTAGTTGAAGCTTAAGAACATGTGGATCAGTTTGTCTTGATGATGGTTCATCAAGCACAGCAAGGCCAAGCGAATCTTCTTTTCCATCAGGTCGTGGTACCTTTATTGAAAAGAAAATTGCTTATTCCCGACTTGTTTTTATACGTTCATATACTTTAAGAAAAGCATCAATGTCACCAATAGCTGGTATATATTCTGAAATAAATGGTCTTAATTTTGTATCAAGTACGATGTCTTGTGGTTGAAATCTAAATGGAATTTAATTGGAAAAAACTTCTTGTGCAAGCGAAGAAAAGATAATCGATTACTTTTCAATACATTTAAATATATCTTTTATTTCTGCCGACACTGGTAAATCTCTATACAAGGATGGATCGTATGCATTTGGATCGGGTGCTCTATATTGTTTTTGACCACCAGCACCACCATTTAAGATTTGTGATGACGGCGGATCATAATCTGAATCGCCTTGTGTATCATCATCCTATAGGATAAATAATGCTTTTCTAAGATTAAAAATGACATATCAAATATCATACACGCGGACTAACACCGGGACTTTCGTCTCGTTGATGATGTATTGGTGGTTCACGAGAAAATTTCGGCAGACTAGCTGGTCCATTGGAATCTGGTGCTAAAAAATTGAAATTGGAACAATCTAAGACAAATTTAGATTCTTTGTCTTAAGTTCAAAGCAATTTTTATACAAGACAATATTTAGAAAACTATAACATATATTTTTCACAAATATTTATTTAAATAAACCTGGAACGGTTAAAAGATTTGATCGCTTAAGGCCAGTTCTTGGTGAACCTAGGCTTTCTATATTTAAAAATCTTTTTATTCATATGAAAATAAAAAACTTTTTAAATAAATTCACAAACCTGGAGGCCTTCGACTACCAGGCTGTGGCGTATATACACTGGCCACATCCTCTCCATCGATGACCTTTAAACAGAAGAGAAGGTAATTTTCGTAAAACTTAGTTCATTGATTTCTTACATCCATTGATTCATCGTATATTTGATCTTGTACAACACGAATCTATATATTTCTCTAATAAAATTTAAATTTTCGTAAAATAAATCTTCTCGTACCTCTTCATCGTCGCTCATTTTTTATTCTTATCTACTGAAATGAACTTAAAATTGACGACATGCTTATTTTCCGTACTCCTAGTAATACCTCTCAGAAAAGAAAAATCTCGAACGAGAGAGAGGTCAGCACTAGATAGTTATTTGATCTGTTGATGATGATATGAATACATCGTATATCAAGTGAAATACGAACAGCATGAACTCATGCCAATTTCAATCATTTTCATCATCATATCACTACAGGTATACGATATTACATAAAAGCATTCAATCTTTTTTTAGATATACTTTAGTGAGAAGACCAACAGAATATGTTGATACTATCTATCAGTAACGCCTAACAATTATTGATGTGTATGTATATATACCATGCTGACGTACATGCAAATACTTGTTGATTACGTAGGTTTCATTCAAATTTCAATTCAACTGATCGTTATATTATGCATTCATAACATTGCAGCAAACTGTGCCATTTTTTTATATGTGTGTTGAAGTCAGTTTACATCGTACATTGATAAAATCAGTCAATCATACACAATTACTTTTCTTATGTAAAACTTTGCAACATATACATAAATATTGAATATTCATGCAGAACGCGTTCAGTATACATTGGAAATAGAGAATGACAAGAACGCAAAAAAATAAATTATATACACATAGCAGCAAGTAACTGTTTTTCTCTTTGCTATTCTCGAGAATTTTCCTATGTCTACTAGATAAACTAGTTAGAATTTGATGTGTAGTAGTTTTATCAATTGAAATACGCATAGATTTCGACTGATCAACAGCGTCAATTCTGAAGATGATCGCATTCAATTTACCAATAAAATTTCATCATAACTGCACAATACAAGATAAAGCTTTTGCACGTATTATATAAATGTCAAATATTATCTGTTACATTTTATACTTTGATTTTGATAACATTATCTATTGCTTAAATTCTTTTCCCTTAATGTTAAGTTGATGATGTTGGCAACTATTAATGAAATACTGGCTAAAATTTCTGCAAATGTTTTTGAAGTATGGGTTCAATAAATTTAATTATATCGAATTAAACGGTTACATCAACAAAAAATTTACTGCATGAGAAATATTTGCTGCTCATCAATCTCATACCAAATCGAGCGTTGTTGTTGTTGTTGTTGTTATCATAGATTAGAGAACTATTCAATCGTAGACACTCTCGACATTGCATTATAGACAGTCTATGAACATCGATATGCTATAAGTACTGAAGCCTGTAATGAGCAAATGTAAATAGGTAGAAATTGAAATAGGATACATGTTGAACACAAAGTCGCTACACGATACGAGAAAGTTGTGCATGTTTCATCCATATTTGTGAAGTTGACAATCTGAATTAAAAAGAAGATAGATTGAGTTTATTACAAGAAAAAACATGCGGAACAAATGAAAATAAACTGACAGCAATACAATGAGCGAACCGATCGTTATATTTTAGAATTTATCAATATTATTCAGAAATATTTTAATTGCATCAACGCAAAATTTTAGGAGAGAATCCCTGGGGTTTATATCTCACTGCGTGAACTGAAAATAAACTCATACGATACTGCGAAGATTTTCTTCCAATCGAGTTTTGAAGTCGAATTACTGTCATCGACCTCAAGTTGCAATGTATTTCTAGATATTCGCTGATAAAATAGAATGTAGATCTGCAGATATTTGTATCGATATTTCTAATAATCTTGAAATATGTTCGCAATTTTTATCTGACAAAAATGTTGTTTTTTCAAATCGTGATATCGAATCTACACGTAATCTGGATTTTGCATCATGTTGGTGGAAGAAGAACATCCTTTTTGATTGAAACTTTGCGAGCATTCTAAAATTTCCTTAGTGAATAAATACTGACGAACTGGTTGAAATTCAATAACATAGACATTAGCAGTGTCCAAAGACATACACTGAAAAAAACTTCTTTTTTGACTTACCATGAACAAGAATAAATTATAGTGATACCTTTCATAACAATAAAATCTGATAGAATAAAACTTTTGAAGTCTTATGTAAATATTTTATAAACTTTAAATAAAACTAATTGATCATCGAATCTAATCTTCAAAAATTGTATGATACAAACGATATTTCAAAATTAACTGTGACCAAAAAAGTTCATTTTATCGTGGTTCATTGTTAGTCAAACTGTTTGTTTTTGAATAGAGACATTCCTCACTGTACTAAATTCTCAATCATCCTTCCATAAACAAATCATTTGTTTCTTTGATTCATCGACGCCAGATGTGTCAATGTCAACTGCAAAATTAAAACAGATCTCTGCGATGCGTCATCATAAGACAATTTAGCTTTGCATCATCATTCTAGTAGCTTTTAATATTATGCATCATGGTTAAAATTTTATAACAAATTTGGAAATAAATTATGATTCACAACTACCATGGCAACGGACTTCTGATTCAAATGTTTATATTATGTAACAAAGGTTATAATTCTGACTATGCAAAGTACAACTGAAGAGATACTTGAAATTCAAAACGATTCATAAACTAATTCAATATGAGTATTTGTTTTTTTTTCCTTTGCAAATCAATACTGTTACACGACATATTATAATAGAGAAAATTGCGTAATTTTGCAATAAATCTATCAATAGCATACATCAAAAATAAAAATATTTGATATAAAATAAATTTCATTCGTCATCATCATCATCATCATCATAATAGACACGATCGACAAAATCTTAGCAACGTTTGTCAGAATATTCAATACTTGAAAGAAAAACTAATAATATCAATACATGAGTCTATATCGCGATTTTTTAATATTTATCTCTATCCCAGTTATGCTAATATGTACGTGTCTTCATGTCAAAAGCAAATATGAACTAGCCCAATCTATGATATAGATCTTATATTTGTTATTTTTTGTTGTTCTTTTTATTTGTTACATCGAGAATCAAGAGTACCAGCAATATTGAGACTAACAAACAACTGTGAGAGATAGATAAAGAAGTAGAAGTAGAAGAAGAAGTAGAAAAAAACATATCAATAGAATCCATGAAACAAAGTATGAAACGATAAATTCAGTCGAATTTTTCCTATTGTCAAATGTGTTTTATCAAGACACAATTTGTTTTTTGTTTATCCGTTTTTTTATTGCCTGATATGTGAAATTCTATGAAGAGAAGAAAACGAGAAGAAAAAAAGAACAAACGCACATAATTTTTCGAGTACATGAGCTTGAAAAAGAAGAAAAATGCCAAAGATCAAAGAAAACAAACAAATGAAACGCCCTAAATTTGTTTTTTTTTTGTATTTTTTTCGTTTTTGGTTGGGATGGGGGAATGATGGGAACGAATTCGACACTTCGTATTCAATCCAAATAGCCTAGAAAAGGGAATATCAGAGAAATGAACCATCATATTCGCTCATCATTTGGATGGACATATGAATAGAAACGATATGAAGGTCTTTGTTGCTCGATTAACTATTGACTCGTGACAACGGCTGCTTCTTCAATGAAATCTTCAGGTATCCATGGTAGCATATCATCTTCAACTTCATTTGAGCAATCACATGAATTCATACGCATAATACATGTATCAACTTGATGTTTACGTGGAATAAGCTGAAATGCTGCTTTTACCGAATCCCTAAGAAAGCAAAAAAAACAAAAATTTTAAAAACATATTTTTCCAAAAAACTTAAGTTTTATAGAATTAAAATTTTCCATTTCTGATTTAAAAAGAAAGATTGGCTCAGACTTCCAAAGAAGGCATTATTATTTAAAATATGACTGGCCTCACATGTGAGATATTCGAGTGGAAACTGCGTAGCGGAATAAGCATCATCACCGCCAATCAAACTGTCCGAACCTAGATTCGAACGTAGGTTGTACTGTTTTATATCTTATTAAACAATTCAACCATATACAGTGATAAACTACGCACCAGAAATGTTTGGACATAAAGTAGATTGGTTTGCCATATGGAAGACCATTGAATTGAACAGCAGCTGATATTGTATAAGCACCCATATTTTTCCATAAAATCCAATCACCAATATTTAATTTTGGTATTTGTATAGATTTATTAATACAATCAAGACCATCACATGTCGGTCCCCAAATTGATGTTGTGTATTTTTCATTTAAATCACCCTATATAAATAGAAGAAAACAAAAATGATGAGAACAAATTTAGAGAAGTTTATTTAATAGATCAAGTTGATTAATACCAACCTTAGTCAATACATGAGGTTCGGGTACATAGTGATCATAAAGAACACAATTGAATGAACCATAAACACCATCATTGATGTAATACATATATTTCAAGTTTCCTGTTTCTATTTTACAGAAAAAAAGGGTATTATTCAGAAAGTTTCTCTAGTAAGAACTTCAGCAGAATAAACTCAGATTTTTAGATTGAGATAGCAATAAGATTATTTCTAACATTCACAGAGATGATTAAGTTCTATGAACTGCAATTTAGATTTGATCGGTAAAGAGAATGAAATTTATTTTCATAAACATAACATTAACAATTCGATCCAATGTATCGGTACTTGAAAATTGTACAGATTTTCAAAACAAAATATAATAAATTATCAATAAATATTGAAAGACAAAATTTTTATTTCGTGCAAGAAAATTAGTTTTCTTCATTGTTACTGTCAAAATTTGCAAGCTCAACAATGACTCATTTTTATTTAACAAGTAGTCTCTCAACTATTGCTGTTAACTTCTATTTATTAGGATTAATTTTTCTGAAATAAAGCGTTAATTTTCTCTCAATTGAGTTATTTTTCTTTAATCACATAGGATTCATCAATCTATTTAAATACATTTTCGATCGTATAATTTGATATCTCTTTCGTAGCAATCAGACAGTTTGTTTCTGCATCATAATCGATATCTTTTTTGGGTATTTACAAAAGAAAGCTCAATAATATATACTTTCCATTACGAATAAACTAACCTGAATCGACCATTTCTCGTAAAGCAATTACATTTGTTGCTAATGCATAAGCTGAAGCAACGTAATATCGACCTGGTTCAGCTATGATTTTAATATGACCATCATCAGGAAAATGTTCCTCAAGTGCTTGATTAACAGCTACTGAAATTTCAGTAAAATAATCTTCAGTTCCTGTATTTCCAGGAAAACCACCACCAATATCAAGTAAATGCATATCAAATCCTAATTTGTTTCCATAGTTCATAATCATGCGAGCATTTTGAATAGCATCAACGAATGCGTTGCTTGTCATTTGACCACTACCGCAATGAAAACTAAAAAAAAACACAGAACGAAATGATACAGTAATTCATTGGGCATTATTATACCTGACGCCAATGATTCTCATGTCAATTTCTTGAGCTTTATCAATTAATTTACGTGCTGTGTTCATGTCAGCACCAAATTTCATTGAAAATCGGCAAACAGCATTTGAATCATCCGTTACAATACGTAAAACAAGTCTAACAAAAGAAATATAATAATAATTTCTCGAAACACATAAATATCTACATACTTAGCATTTGGATATATCTGCTTAATTTTCATTAATTCTTGTTCATTGTCGAATGTCATAATTTCAACACCAACTTCTTGAGCATACCGTATGTAAGATGATTGCTTGCATGGATTAGCATAAATGATACGATCGGCTATTAAAAAAGCAACGATATAACAGATTAAATATTAAAATAAAAAATAATTTCTTACCTGACGCTCCTAAATCCATAACTTTTTTAATTTCTCCCTAAAAAATGAATTCATAAGATTATTTTCAAGAAAAGATAATTAAAATCAATTTACTTTGCTTGCACAATCAAAACCAGCTCCAAGATAGGCAAGAAGTTTGATAACATTGATATCATCATTACATTTAACAGCTAAGTAAAGAAAGAAAAACATAATAACTCTATATTGTCTGAATAAAAAAATTATAATAAACTAACCATAATGTGGTTTAACACGAGGCATTAAAGTAATCCAACGAATATGTTTATTGCACACATCTTCAAGATCGACAGCATAAAACGGTTCGACTTCATCTTTCTAAAATATATTGAAGATAGTTATTAAATATAAGCATACTTTTGCTTTTAATGATATTACAAGTAGATCGATTTTCTTTTGGATGAATTCTTCAGCTGTATATTGATTTTTAGTAACAACAATTGAATTATCTTTAATTAGATGCATTTTTATTTTCTAATTAGAAGAAACTAGTTTGAAAGAGGGACTGCTGATAGGATTGAATACGAAGTGTCGAATTACTATAAATATTAAAATGATAATTGAATTAAAAAAGAAAAGAAATTGTGATTTAAACTTACGTCGACGATAAAAGGGAGTTGTTCAGCGATTAAATTCCAATGGCGGGTGCTAGCGAAGTGGACCCGGCGTCCAAGGAAATTCAGGCAAGACAGATGATGAACAATCGTGTACCAATAACAAACAGAAACTTTGATCAGTTAAGTCCTAATGAATTTTGTAGCAAAACGAAAATTATAAATTTCATAAAAAACTAATTTGCAACAAACCTTAATTGAAGCACCCCACCCTTTGTCGTCGATACTAGCTTTGGACAATATTTTCGGTGTCTTGCGAAAGACGAAAAGAAGTAACCTCCCACTTGATTACACACAAAAAGTGACTGTAAACTTTTGTATGTGTATTTGTGTTATAGAAACGGACGATAGTAGTCAGACGAAATATGTTGCAGATCAAAAGTAAAATTTGCAATATACGTCGAAAGCGAAAACGGACTCTATAAAAGAGAGAGAAAAAAATTCAGATATAAAGTAGAGAAAGACGCATCGAGAAAAGACAGAAACAAAGTATAGAAGATTAGTAGTGACAATATTGTATAAGAAATAATTTTACAGTTGTCTATTATTTTATTTTTCTGTATAAATGATAACGTTTTTAATCAAAATAAAAAAACTAGTCATGTCAAGAAGTTGACTTGAGGCTTATAATGACGCATGACGTATAGCGGTTGTTGGATATAAAAATGATAGGATAATGGCGGGCAAAAGCCAATAGAATTTTTTTCCTTTTTTCTACTACAGTAAAATCTGTCATTCTTATCGTTTTTAGTTAATTGTTTTTAACATAAATGAATAAAAGAAAATTTTGAAAAATTTTGAGTTCTTTTCGAACTCGGCGATATCCTAGACACCAATTGGTCTAGCTAACAAGGTACATAATTGTTTGTATGTATCACTTAGCTATAAGAATACTTATATAATCGAATCGTAGGCGTTTTTCAATAGACCAAATCAAGTTCTTTTCTATGAATGTTATAATCCTGTAGGAATGAACATAATTCCTACAGGAGAAAACATTGTCATATACAATATAAATATAAATCGAAAATAGTTTTAAAATTAAATAATATTCCTTGAAGCATGTCTAGTTTTTCTTTAAACTGCAATTGGGCAAACAAAGATCAACATCCATAACTCGTATACTCATTGCATAAACCTATATGTATACGCGTTGAATATTCTATCAATTAATGTTTTCTGATGATGTCTGCATTATCGAATATTTTAATAATAAATATTGAAAATATTATTGTCAATTATCATCAATAATTATTAATTGATCGATTTTATCCTTCTCGTCAACAATCCATCGTTTTAATTTTTTTTATATATGTTCCATCATGGCTGATCTTATTTCCCAAAAAAGACTAAAAATCTTAACTATTACTTACAGATTACACTATGCTTTTGCTAGTTCATTTTGTATTTTAGATGAACTCATTCGCTTTCAATATTCTGCGTGTTTTTATTGAAAAAAAAACAGAAAATATAATATTTGCATACCGTTTGTCTATAAATGGCACTTAGCAACAACGCAAATAAATTAGAAAAAACACTTCATTTATCTATTTGTTACTGTTGTATGTAGAAAAACAAAAGAAAGCAGGATGTTGTTTCTTTGCTAGTTATTACTTTTGAAAAGGGAAAAACACTTAATTTCACTCGCATAGTCAAATACAAGAAAATTTGTTTCTGTTATTTTACATAAGTATGATCACATGAATTAATGCTCACTATAATTTATTTGAGCTTTGACTCTTCTTCTCATCTACTTGGTGATATAGAATGTTCTAATTTACATCTATTTTACAAGTTCTTGTTTGAAAAAAAATGATTTACCTTCTAAGAATGGTGCAATAATTATGAAATAGAATAAGAATAAATCCCTGTGGATAGGCGGCGGACCCCTTAGGCTTGGGGAGGCTCATTTAATTTGAAAAAAATGATTTAACTATTAAGAATGATGCAATAATTATGAAATAGAATAAGAATACATCCCTGTGCATAGGCGGCGGACCCCTTAGGCTTGGGGAGGCTCATTTAATTTGAAAAAAACGTTGTAGAAACAGATCATCTATTAGTATCAGATTTGTTTTTAATTTCATCTTTCATCATCCTTATCATATGAAAAAAATTTTGAGCCTCCCCTAAATTGAAATCGTTCCGCCGCCATTGTCCCTGTGCTGGTATTAATTTAAGATTTTCAAAAATCTTTCTTAGGAATTGATGGTAAATACATCTAATTATCATAAGTGCTAAACTTATTCAAAATAAAAATATATCTGCCAGTACCATATCATGTGTCCTACCACTATCAGAGATGCGAATGAGCAGAAAAAAACTTCAATGAAGTTCAGATGAAGTGAAAAGAATGTTATAATGTAATTTTATATGCTATCCATTCTTTTACGATGTTTACTGTCTGACAATGTCAGTTTTCTATCCGCTACACTTGTGTATATCATGACGTTTTTTTTTTGCGCACTCTAAAACTAAGCGCATGCATCAATTGTCTACAATCTGTTATGTTCGAAATTGCAGTAACGTCAAGCATTTTCTAAATAGAAAGTCATTGAGCGCCCACCATCCTTACATAGTACTTGAAGTTAAATATCATGACTCCAGTGTGAGCTCATTATGACAGGGGTTGAGTGTAGTGTAGATAAACAACATAATTTACGAGAAAATTTTGTGCAACGGGTAGTACATAATAAAGGCTGATCCAAGTTTAACATAATTAATGTTGAAAATAAAATTATAATAGACTACTCAGATAAACACATTACAGATGGAAAAAATGAATCTGTAACAAAATTGTACTTCTACAAGTGAATCTCACTAGTGTTGTGATTTATCAAAATTGATAATTTAGAACTAAATGAAGGGTGAATTCCATCGCAGCTTATAGTAAGTCTTTGGACATAGAGACATTAGTTACAAATTATAATTATAAAAAACTTCACAAAAACTAACCTAATCTTTGGAGAAACGCCACCGTCATACTAAATAAAATACTGTATACTCTATTGCAACTCTCTCTCTCTTTATATACTGTAGAAGAATGCACTGGAAATTATTGTAAATACTACTATCTATATTTGGAAATCATGACAAATAACTTTCAAACATATTTTATATAATAACTGATTTTGTTAATCAAAAAACAGGAAAATAAATATTATGTTTTATGAAATTTTATTTGTTTGCAATAAATATGTGTTTGTAAGTTCTTTCATTATTTTTCTTCAGATGTCTATCGAAAACACAATACTTTCGATTGATAATCAACTATCAACATCGTTCAATGAAATCGCTGATATTGAAGTTGAAAATTTCTTTGGTTGCTATTTATTAAATAGTTTGAATCCAGCTTGTAAAGGTCGGACTTATATTGGTTTTACTGTTGATCCTCATCGACGAATAAAACAACATAATAAAGGCAAAGATTTTGGAGGAGCAAAAAAGACCAGTGGAAAAGGACCATGGTAAGTAAAACAAATGTTTTCTGTTTGTTTTTCATTAAAAACACTTCAACACTATTAGGGAAATGGTCTTAATTGTACATGGCTTTCCAAATGAAATAACAGCATTACGCGTAAGAGTGAACATTAGGTATAAAGGATTAGAAAATATTCGTGATTTTTATAGTTTGAATGGGCATGGCAAAATCCTGAACAATCTATACGTCTTAAACATTTAAATTTATCAAAAAACAAAAGGAAACACACTTTACAATTTAAATTGAAAATTCTTGCTGAAATGCTTTGTATTGGTCCATGGGCACGTTTGCCACTTACAGTTCGATGGTTATCAGACAAAAAACAAGTACTAGAACGAATGCCACCATTGCATATGCCTATAACAAGTGGACCAATTAATGTTTCCAAACAAACGAATACAATACCATCGAAACGAAAAAAAACGAACAAGCAAACTTTACCAATAAATGACGATTCACGATGTTTTAGTTCTTGTTCGTTATGTAACAATATTATACAAGTATGTAAAAGGCTATTGTCTATTCTATTCAATACTGTGAAGTCCAACAAGTGAAATACGAGAGTTTATTTTAGTAGCATAAGCACATCGTAAAAAAACTGCAGCCGATAGATGAGAGTAATCTGTAGTTTTTTTAATTTTTGAACATAAAAAGTCGAGAACAATTATTATCGCTTCAAGATTGATTGATTTCGAAAGAGGAACTGTTGAAAAATTGTTATTCAATTTTAAATGCAATTATCTTTTTTGTTTTAAATTAAAGAAAGAAATTTTTTTTAAGTATACAAACAAACTACAAAGTCAAAGTTAATTAGGAAAGCTATAGATAATGAACTCTCAATGGGATGTCCTCATTCAGCAGAGCATAATTTGACGTTAGCAGTTTTTTTCTTTTATTTCGTTTTAAATTAATAATTTCTTATCGAAGAATAACATCATCAAACTATTTCAGAAATGTTACCAACTCTTTTTTATCGGCTGTTTATCATTTGAAGAATCATTAATCAAATACCATTGCTAGACATTTTCGATGAAATAGCTTTATATTTTAGTAAATTTTATTTTTGATACTCTCGTGCAAAGAAAATAGAAAAAGTCTGGTGATCGATTTCAATATTTGTTTTTGAATACAACTACGCAGAAAACTTATAGAAACCTTGAAATTTCATTTCTGTTTATTTTTCATCAACATTCACATTAAATCAAACAGAAAATATGCTCAACCTTTTGATGTCGAAATTTCTTCTAAGAGTAGAAGAACTTTGGTTTCGCCAAGGACATAAAAGGTCACAGACGAATAATCAATTATCTAAGATTTCACTGAACAATATAAAATTCAATAGTTGCAGAGTTTGATAGAATGTGTTTAAACTTTGTAGGATTCTTCATGTAACTCTCTGATTACCATTTTGAGTCTACGTCATAGTATAGATTTGATTAAATTGCCATTTTATTTGCAGTTAGATAAGAAGATTTATTGTAAGCGTAACTTTCTAATGCGAAAGTAGTGACATAATTCTGTACGTCTTCAAGTACTAAGATAATCTACAAATTCTGATTGAACTCTGAACACGTAATACTTTCTTGTTCACCTGATAAGCATTCGTCGTAATATTATCTAACGATATCGTACGTTGAGTATTAGAATAATAATGAATAGGTAACAATATATAGTCATTGTGAAAGCATAATAAATTATTTGAAAAATAAAATAGTTGTGTACGATTAGTAATCCCCTCGCGAACAATCTGTAGAATAGATAATTTCAACTTTGTTGTTTTAGAAAGTATCGAATTATTTCCTTGTATATAATCTTGAGAATTTAATGTTCATCTAGTAGATCAAAATTCCGTTTTCATAAAATCGAAAAGTTTTGCAGTATATTTTTTTTTTGTTACCAAAAATGTAGTGCATCGAAGGTAAGAGAAAAAAAATAGTATGTTTAAACAGTATGATAAAATAAGACTAGTAAATAAAGGCAATGATAAAGCGTCATTTGTGGAGACGAAAATATAAATATTTTAATATCGGACTTTGTTCTTATTTTAGCCACCAATGCACGTATCTTGCCCAAAATGTTCTATATCTTTTCATATTATATGTTTATCAAAATGTTTTCTTAAGAATACTGAAGAACATTATATTATTCCTATTGATGGTTTATGTCCTTCTTGTAAAAAGAATTTACTATGGGGTGAAATTATACAAAATAAATATACAAATAGATCATGTGCATTACCAATAGTCACACATTCTGATGAATCAGATGACGATGACGATGTTATTCAGTAATTTTCATATCAAACTGTATGTTTCTTTAATTAGTATATACTATGTGGTTATATACAATTCAAATGTCTATTTTCTCGTTTTCTTTATGTTATTATCAAATTCTCTGTTCTGTCAGGTTTTTTTTGTTTGTATCTTCTAATTAAATCTCTCTCTATTAAATATAGAGCATGTATTTTCTACTAGATTGAATATCCTATGTATAATAAACAATTAAGAGTGCCTGTTAAAAACAAATCATCAATCTTCAATGATAATCATTCATGATGATCTTAATAATTAATAAGAATTCTTTTGTTCATTCGATAGTTAAACTTAAATTTAAATCTATCATTCTATACTAGTATTAATCAATGAGATATCCAGGACAAAATTCTATTCAATGATTTGATTCTACAAATGCCAACCATAATGCTTATTCAACATTGATTGCTTTTATTTTTGTTGTATTTATTCAGAAAAAGAAAACATTGATTTTCGAGTTTGTTGACATGTTTTATAAATAGATCAAATAACAATATCGTCTTATTACAGAACGGCAAGTATAAAAACCATGCAGGGTAAAATTTGAAATCAGTGATGGTGTACAAGACGCGGATATTTTCCAGCAGCTTAAAATCAAAAATAAGTACGATGCACTTTTCACTGAATATCAGCATTACAAATTTGCTGATTTTTATTTGTTCTCTTACATAATAAAATATTTCGGATAATATTTGACTAGAAAACAAATACTAAATATTGATCGCAAAACTAATATACACGACTAAAATGTCCTTCTCGGTCAAATTTGTGGCAAAAATAGCAAATGACATTCGATTCTAATTTTGTTTTTTGTTGTCTCGACAGTCTTCGCAGTCAATCATGTCTATATACTAAGGTTATTTTTCTGCAATGAGAACAGCATGAACAAACTCTTAGTTCTTTTCGCCAAGCTCATTGATTGATATTAAAAAACAAAATTTCATACAATCAGATTTCCGATGAATTAAAGCTATTATTAATAGTAGACAATAATTACAATATTGAATTAAATTCTATTCATAAAATGTTGACTCACAATTTAAAGTACTTCATTGTTTTTACAAAATATCAACGGAACATTGAAGTTTTTTTTACCTTTGAAATGTTGTCTTTCATATGACTATTTACAAAGTCCAGAACTATCATAAATAAAAGTTGAATATTTATTTTTCTTGCATATAAACAAAAAACTTTGCTATGTGACGTGTTAGATAGTTATGTTTACCTAACTCTTTATTTCTTCAAACCAACGCTAACTAGAATCACTTTTACAACTCCAACAACTTCTCCTTTACTTTACTTCATGCATATGTTAAACCAATTAGTCAGTCTCATGACCAATAGAGATAACAGAAAGAAGATAGGTAGTGGTCAAAGATAGCACTACTGCCTAACATCATGATCATCAGTTAAAATTCTTGTTGTTATCGAGAGGGATCTGAATGTGTAGGGAAAAAAAGATTCTTCTTCGATCTGTTTTATTGTAAAAGTTCGTTTGAAAAAAATAAAAACAAGCTGTCAATTCATGAGACATGCACACTATCATATGCAAAAAACTTTGAACTCTTTCAAAACCAGGTGATATTATGTTTTATTCGAAGTTATCACATAGATAACCTGGCAAGATCATTTCGCCTTATTTTTTTTATATAATTACTGTGGACTTGATAAAAATATATTTTTACCAGCAAAATCAGAAAAAAAGAAGCACAAGGTCAAAGTAATTTCGACACAATTTGCATCAAATAAATCATAACTAGATGGTATTCAAGTGAAACTTGAATACGAATGCGATACGAAACTTGAATCGGATCTTCACGAAAAATCTTCAATTCAGAGAAATCTTGAATACTTTTTATGTCGACATGATGAAATTCATCACTGAGAAAACTATTCTTACTTAGCGATACATTCTTACGGGTCGATTTCGATTGATCGATTAATTATCTCCATGATTCATTATCTTAGATCAGCTGTAAATGAATAGACTATAGTGACTAGCATATGTTCGTGACGTCACTTTAATTATCTCGCGATAAATTTCTTTCATTTTCGTCATTTTGGAACCACACTTGTGAGTGAACAGAATATCAGATTAAAGAATAGAAAAAATATGTCAGAAGTTTGATCTCGATACTTTCATCGCCCGTTTCAATGAATTCTCTATGATTTTTTGGTACTCAAGATCATCGCGTCACAAAATGATGAAAAAGATGCGTATGTCGAGAAAGCAAAAGAAAAAGAAAACACGCGACGGGCTACATAAATGCTATGCTTCGCATCGCATCGCATTAAAAATATCCAATAGATTCGTTTTTTTCTTCTAGATGTTATCTTTTAAAATCATAGATCATACTGACATTAAAATAATTATTGTAGCGTTAAACGAAATATCTTAGAACATTTTGTTTTAAAAGAATTCTAAGTAATAATGAATCACTTCTAATCTGTCTTGAAATTCCAGCAGTCTTTCTCATTCAGTTATCTCAAAGAAAAAAATTCTTATACTAGCTTTATGATAAAAAAATATCTTTACTGTCTCAGAAGGAAAAAAAAACATGAAATAGTGAGAGCAATGATTACGATTTGTAAGGATTCTTGGCAAATATTAGCTATTGTCAGAACGATAGTATGAAATATAAGCTTCATAGACGACCTATATATAGTGTAACAGAAAATGGTCTACTTTATTACATGATCAAAAAGGCATGGCATTTATTGAAAAAGAAAACAAGATTGGTTGAGAGCATATAATTTCAAATATTCGTTTTTATTCTGATGAAAAAACAAATTGATAGACTGCAAAGCACTAGTAGCTATGTTGATGAAGTCTTTTGACAGTCTTCTTTTTTTTATTATTTTTAATAGTTCTTTCAACAGATGCATTAAAAGTCATCCTCGTTGTCACGTTGCTCTTGAGAATATGTATAGAGAGAGAGAGATTGCGCATAAAAACGTGAGAATCATGTTTTATGATTGAATTGATACCATCACATACAATTTTACAGTGTCATACAAATAGCTGGTCAAAAAAACACCAAATTTACCTTTCGAATTTCGAAGTAATTACAGTATAGACTAAGGACAGTGACAGACATTATCAATCACTCTTTTTGTTTATGTTTTAGACAAATGTGAAATTAATTGATGAAAATAGAAATTAGGCGATAAAATAGTCGTATGGATTCGAAATATATTAATATCGATAGACGAGGTTTATTTACAAAATAGATTTTTAATGACCAATTTTGACCTTGGTAAGATGATTGATCCTAATGCAATTTATTTGATCTATTCCGTTAGCAAAAAACATCATTTATTTTGGTATGATGATGTGAATTTTATCTGGAGGAAAATGTTTCGTAATTTTTAGCAAAAAAACAATTATTTTTTTTTGATTAAATATTGATTTTTTCGATAATTAACATTCACTTCTTCTCAAGGCATTTTATAAAAGGGTAGACTCTAAATACCATGCCGTTATAAAGTCTATTTAGGTATGAAGTTTTTGTGGCATAAGATATTTAAATGTTTCTTTTAATTTTTTGAGTCCTATTTTTCCTTTTTTTTTGCATCTTCAATGAGGTCACTGTAACCTAACGTTTCTTTCTCCGATTTATGCTTCGAGCAATATTTTTCTGATGACACTATAAGCTAAAATACTTTTTAATGTATAAAATAAGCATTTCACTTAATAAAATATTTTAATATCAATTTTTTCTTATTTTGATTAATTCAATAACGACAATAATTAATTTTACATATGGGGGCTGTTTTTTTCTCTACAATTATTTTTTAAAACGTTATTAAAGTTTTATCGGGCCATTTTTCTTATAGCTAATTACTATTATGTGTCCTTATGCCTAAATATTTTGTATAGCTAAATATTTATTAAAAACACATGATGAGCACTGCCATATAAAATACGCTAGAAAAATAACACTTCAGTAAATACTATATTGTTCAACTGAAGTGATATGTCAATGAAGACATGAACGGTATAAATGATTAATCAAATTGTTCTTTTGTTTACCTATGGTTCATGATATTTTCTATGAACGAGCGTATGCTCATAAATATCTCGATTTTATGAAAAATTAAAAAATTAAATTGCTAAACAGAAAATTTTAAAAAAAACAAAGGAAAGAAAAAAGAAAATTATGATGAGCAGGAATAAGCGAAAAACATATTTTTTCTTAATAAGTTACGATATTTATTTCACTAATTGTATTTATACTATTTGATGGAGATTGATGAAAGATTTGTTTTAATAATGATAAACATGTTACAGTTGATGATGATGTTGATCGTACTGTAGAACTCCTCCTCGTTTTAGCCGTCGTTTTGGATGAAAAAATATTATTTAATATTAAATATTTACTTCTTCTCGAATTTCTTCGTAGTTCATTTTTGTCATGTTGCGGGCTATTTTTGTTGTTTTCATCTACAAGTCGATCATCCATTTTTAACAAAAGAATAGAATGATCAAATATAACCGGAAAATAATCGAGTTTAAATGAACATGGGTGGAAATGTATGAGTGCACCACGCTGGCAAGAGTATAGATCAAATTTATTAGGTAACAATGGTGGTAGATGATAATTTAGTAAGGCACGCAATTGTTCGATTGTTTTATCAGATGATATAGTAAATGTTATATGAGAATGATCGGATAATCTTTCAGCTGTTATTGTAATAGATTTCCTATAAAACACACATATTATTATAAAATTCATATGTACGCGAAGAAAACATAATAAACAATTTTTTTCTCTAACGTTATAAAATAACCCAGTAGACTTTTTTCAGCGTTTACAGAGAATAAAGTTTAGAATGACTTACGGCTCAACTTTGGTTCGTCGAGATTTCTTCATGTTTTTGCAACGCTTATAGCATTGTTTTGTATAAACGTCTAATTCATCCATATTAAATAAATATAACGATCCAAATCAATGTTAACGTATGACGGCTGTTATTTACTAGGCGTTTCGTCGTATTCTGGTTTTATTTTTTTTTTGTTGCCGGTTCTTTTAAAAAGTATTTTTCGTGTGATTTATCATTCTTCGTCAATAACGTAAAACTTGCGAGTGTGATGAGGCGACGAATGAAATATGCAAGCAACAACAATACGGAAAATAAACCAACGAATAATAATAAACGAATCGATACTTCCTTTTATTAATTCCAATATAAAGTAGAAATAAATTTATCTAAAGTAAAGGTTAAAAAGCGATAGAAACCGTAGTGTCTTACAGCAAGATTTGTATGCATGCAAATTATTGCACAGCGATATATTTTTTTCACAGCGTTTTTACTTTATACGTTGTTCTGCCTATCAACAGAATGTTTTGACCCTGATGAGATGTAATGTTGACAGCCGTATGAAAGAGAGAAGAAGAAAAGAAAAAAGACCATTGCGAGTTTGTTGTAAGAAAACACAAGTCGTACACATAAAACATCATTGTTAGGTTACTGTGACCTATCATTAATTATTTCCCATAGATAAAAGTAGATTGGTAATTATTATTAACTAGCAAAGTCTATGATTGATTTCTAAATCTATTGCCTAGTGTCTTGAAACAAAATGTGGATATAATTTTTTCCTCATAATTTCTTTAATGAGATTAGAATTTTCTTTTCTTTTCGCTATTTATTCGGATAGCATTTATCGACATGCGATAAAAAAAACATCTCTATTTTTATTAGAAAAAAAAAGATAATGATATTTATTAACAGTTTGAGTTATTTAATTACACCGTTAAAATGCACGTAATAGAATACGTTCTTCTACTTTCGACTTGTTAGTATCAAAGAGCTATGATCCTTGGTAATGTATTGAGTTTTCTGAAAGAAGAATTCAGGTTAGGACACGGTGACTTTACAATGATTGAGTGTAATCACATTAAAATTATTTGATCTAATTGTAGACCTTGGTTTTATTGTAAATAGAAAACATGAAATATAAGGAAGCAGTTTTTATTTGTTCAGATCGGTTTACTTTGTGATTCGTTTTCTATTTTAAAAACAATCGATCAGAAATTAAAACAGCTAAAACTTTGAAATTGTTTATGATGTTTACAAGGAAAATTTTATAATACTATTAATTATATAATAAGGGCTCAATTGTCAGGTATTGTGCTTAGTTTGATGTCTATGGCAAGTATGACTTTTCTTTTATTTAAGTAGATCTATAGAGAATGTAAGATGGCTTTTTCTTCTCGAAAAAAATCTAACTCAAATTTTAATTAACAAAGAGGGTCACTGGTGGTAAACTTTTGTCTGTTACAGCTGGAGAACAGTCTTGTTAATAAGAAAAAATGGCACTCTTATATCACAAAATGAAAATAAAAATTGACTATCATTCATATTTAATTTAATTTCGACTAATGGATATTTGTTATATAATTATTCGATTTTATTTGTTTACTTTTTAGAAAATTAAAAGTAGGAAAAATTTCAGGAAAAATAAAACAGAAAGTATATCGATTAAAAATACAATTAATTATCATAGAATTAATTTTGAATTCTTAGAACTCTACTGTTATGATCTCTCAGAGAGAAAAAAAGCATGTTAGTGTGCATGGACAGGAGAATTTATTTTCATGATTGAAACAATTAAGATAACTGAGAAACTTATTAGAACTGAAATTATTTCATTTGATATATATATATATAAGAAGCTTAAAATTAATAAATCACTATTCTTTTCTTTTCTTACTTGAAACTAGAAGGCCAATTGAAGAAATCTTGCATGACTCAATTTTATTTTTGATTACTAAATTAAATTTGCTAACTAAAAACAAATAAAGCAGTAATTTGATTTTTAATCGAATAGCAAAACTAAAGTCTATTTTGTTCTACTATCATTGAAGCATTTTATGTTTTTGCGAGGCAGACATTGTTTACTGATTATTATTTTCAATGAAATTCTATCCACATAAAACATCAAATATGATGTCTGTTTCCTTACTAAAGTATATATTCGGTATCAATTTATTCAAGAATAAATTATCATGTATAATAAAGCGAATGATGTTCGTCTGCTTAACGCAGAGTTTGTTACTCGTTCGTCCACGAAATCAATTCATTGGTTTAATACTGCTTAGAATTGTTAATGGATGTGTTGATAGCTGTCAATATCGCTGGTTGCTAATACCAAAAAAGAAAATCTGCATCATTTCGGTTTATTTTAAAAGCTGTTAGCATACTAATGAATTATTTCATGATTTCGGATATTTCATTGTTCACTAGATAACTCTAAGTATACAGAGAAATCTATATAAAAATATGTTATTTTTACTTGTAAAAACATTAGTGAAATCACGGATTTATATCATGCATTAGGATGGTAAATAAAACTTCTAATGTCATGTATCAATGTAATGTTCGTTATTTGTTCTTGATACTTCAAGCAAATTTTCATGCATGATATAACTCACATTATTGCATAATAAAACGGGCCATGATGTGTAAAATCGAAGTCCTGTTTCTTTTATTGTATTTATCTAGCTGGCAAGTTGAATTAAATATTAATATATGATAATCATAAAAAAAATTGAATTTTGTAAACTAAAAAGGCCTGGCATATATGTGACCATATTCGAATAAAACCAATATCGAACATATAATTTTTTTGATATTTCGGTTGGCCGTAGAAAGGCCGAAAGGAAAAATATCGAAAGGAAAAATACCGAAAGAAAAACACCGAAAGAAAAATATCGAAAGGGAAAAATGTCGAATGGATAAATGTCGAAGAGAAAAATGTCGAAAAGGAAAAATGTCGAAAGAAAAATATCGAAAAGGAAAAATGTCGAAAACAGAAAAGATAAAAAAAGCGACGTCTACTAAATGAAGGTTCTAATAGTTTGTTGTTCATTGTTGTTGATCTGATTATTCCATTGGTTTGACAATGATAACCCTTGATACTATTGATAAGTAATATCTTATGAAAACTAGCTAAAATAGGCGTAAAATAGTATACAACGATTAAAATTTTATCATGATGACTACAGCTTGCTCATTTTTATCTGGTGAGAATCATCCGCCAACTCCAGTTATTTCATTTATTCAGTCGTAAAAAGGAAAACCTTTCCTTGTATCAGATAAATATATTTTCAAACTGAATACAACAGCAACAACTAGTAAATATTGGATATGTGTATTTTTCTTTATAACTCTTATTTATCTATGATCTATGCTATGATGCTATTATGATTTCAAGAATAAAAACATCTTAGTGCAAATTTTCGATATTTTTCCCTTTCGATATTTTTTCTTTCGATATTTTTCCTTCGACATTTTTCTTTCGACATTTTTCCTTTCGTCATTTTCTATATTTTTCCTTTCGATATTTTTCCCTTTCGACATTTTTCCTTTCGGTCTTTCTACGGCACACCGATATTTCAATGGAACTCTGCCGATGTCTATTGTATTCGCTATCGAATAAATAGAAAAAAAATAATAGCCAGACAAGAAAAAAGTATCAAGGTGAATAGTTGTCATGTGGATGTAAAAATAGTTCTAGCAATTCAAAATCTCGAACCACTCAAGTGTTGATGAGTAGGAATGGATGGAAAAAGGCAGAAAGGGAAAATGTCGAAAGGGAAAAATATCGAAAATAAAAATGTCGAAAACAAGAATATGAGGTGAAAATGAACATTCAAGATTGGACCTGTGGGTAAGAAAGACTTGTACTTCAACGTACTCTCATTTTCAGCATTTCTATTCATCTAAATTTGTAAAATTTTTGTTTTCGATATTTATATTTTCGCCATTTTTCCCTTTCGATATTTTTCCTTTCTGCCTTTTTCCGCCATACCATGAGTAGAAGTCGACCAAATTCAATTCATTTTCCTTTGTTCTGCATCCATATATGTTACTCAAATTCTTTTGAAAAGTTAAGAAATGCAACGCCCAACTTGATTTGATTTTAATTTTTTGACAAAAAACGAAAGTCTGAAGTAAATATTATTTAACATACTTATAATAATAATAGGAACATATAAGTGAAAAAAATATGAATTCCTTGTGTAGGGTTCATAATTATTATTACGCTTTACTTGCGTTTAAATACTTGAAAACGTATTTTCAAGTTGCATCATAGATCTAGTCATTTTCTAGAAACTGTGAAAAGCAGACAGTTCACTTCGTAAATTATTTTAATTTGAAATGTTTCAATCAATGATATTCGACTCGAAAGAAATCAAGATAAGGATTTAATTTTATATAAATTGAATAGAATTATAAGCGACTATTTTTATTGTCACATCAAAAATCAACAAGACAAGATTTTCAACCAAATTCTATTATTTTTATGCGTGTACTTTTCGACTAAAGAATATATTTATTTTAAGAATATCAACGATTCTAATTATTTAGTTATATCATTTCAATATCACTAAACCTTATCTAGAAATTTTTCATTAGGCTGAAAGTCATTTATCAATCATACAATTAATTTTATGATGTTTTGAATATTCATTTATATTAATTTATTTCTTCTTAGAGCTATGCATATTTGCATGCTGCTGCTAAATTTTTCAGTATTCATCATATTTTAAATAAGGATGATTTATAAAACAAAATATGGGACTCTCAAAGTCATTTGCATGTCTATATAATATAATTGTAGAACTATCTGGCGATTAATCCAATATTCTGTGATGTCATCAAGACCCAGTTGTCATTTAAAAATAATTTTATTCAAGTTTTTATTTAGTAAATAAATAATTCAGGGAAAAACAAGTTAGTTTATGAGTAGAACTTCTTAGAATCTCTTTGTTCTTTTATCTTCAAGTGATGTATATTTTTAATTAATTAGTGCAAAAAAAATATTATTTTCTACTTCAAAGCACATCCTCCGGGAAACAGTATAAATACCGAGCACTTAAGTGGTTAAGGTTTTGCATTATTCATTCACGTTGAATATGTATAATATAAGTTTTATCATAAAATAATAAACGCATGTGACTCACATACATACGTATCAAACAAGTCAAAATTAAGACGAAATAATAGGATAAAAAAGTTTAAATGCAATGTGTATTTGCGTCATACTCACTGCAGTAGGAAAATTTTCTAAAACTAATTTTCCAGCATATAACTTATTACTCTTGTAAAAGTAGTTTTACTTTTATTTTCTGTTTTTCTTTATCTCCAATGTGGATTACAATCAAGCTAAAATGATACATAGAAACGCAAAGCTAATGTTAACAACCCATGAAAAAACAACGTGACTATGAAAACAAGCGCAAAGGAAAAAATGACTCATCGCACTGGGTTTTTTTTAAAGGCAAACATATAAAGAAAGAAAAATTCTTCAATAGAATAGAAGTCGTTTTCTTAATAGACTATTCTAAAGCAAAGCTTGTTTTCACAAATTATTAAATACGAAAAATGGCTTTTAAAAGATCTTTCAATACAACTTCAAAGAATCTTAAGTAAAATAATGAATCTACTAAACATAAAACAATATTTTCTCATTCAGAAATAATGAAACGAACAATTTAAAACTTGTCGATCTACTTGAGCGTTTTGAACAAGAACGAAATGGATGTGAGCAATTGGTTGAGCAATCAAAGCTAGTTGATCGATTTTTTTCCGATTCTGAAATGAATAATTTATCGATACTGGTTCAATTTTTTCAATTTCTTTTACATTCAATCCATAGATCAAGACAAAATGTTGCTAAACTTGTTATACGTTTACCTGGTTCAAAACTTTTAGATTTTTCTTATTCATATTTAAAACCGCATTCGTTGATTGACGAGAATCAAAAAAAATTATTAGAAAAATTTGTTCTTGTTTTATCTCAAATTTTACAATTTTTACTTGAACTTCACCCACAGTGTTGGGAGCAAATAGATTCATTAGGTTTATTTGATCGACTTGACAAATGGAGCACAAAAATTTCCGTTAGTTTCATTTTTCTTCTTCAAAAGTGTATATTAGATAATATATTTGCTTTCCCTAGGACGAAGATGTACAATTAGAAGTTAGTAAACTAATCTCTCGCAAAGATGAATTACTCAATGAACATACCAGTAAAATAAAGAAACCTAAATCTGAAATTGAAATTAAAACAGAACCAGACGACCCACCACCAGATGATTTTCATCAAGTATATCGTATCTTATTTTTCATCTTGATTTAAAACTTAATTGTAAATTTTAGCTTTCAATTTACCCTACATTAGATGAAATTTTTCAACAACAAACTCCCTATTTACGAAAGAACATTACAACTGGTCAATATAAAAATGGCACACATTATTTGGATGTAATTTAACTGTTATAATTTAACACGAATATTTTATTTCTTTTTTTTTTGTTTTTAAGATTCATTTTCGTCTTCTTCGTGAAGATTTTCTTTGGCCATTACGTGAAGCTATATGCCAATATATGAGCGAAGATAATCGAGATACATCATTTCGAAATAGTAATGTTCGTTTATACAGAAATACTATATTAACAGGTTCAATATGTTCACAAGCGGGAATACTATTTTCATTATTGATTGATGTCAGCATGCTGCCTAAATCGATTAGTTGGGCTAACACAAGACGTTTAATTTATGGAAACTTATTAGCTGCAACATTTGATGATTTTGATAGTAGCTGTTTTCTATTAACGGTTGAAGATCGTTCAAATATTGACAAGAATGGAACAATAAACGTTCGAGTAAATCTCATTTTTCTGTGTTAAAGAAAAACAAATTATGAATTAGAAACTATAGACAACTGTTGAATATTCATCGACTTCATACTATAGTTGCGATTAACTATCAGTAGACTTGATAGTTTCATTGTTACTCAATATCTCTACTAACGAGCAAAGTTTCAGATCAAAGCTCTTTACTTTAGATTTTTTGAAAGAAAATCTTTTCGAATTCTTGTAAGCATTTCTTATATTTATGTAGAAATCTATTAGTAGTCGATAGTATAAAATCGAATGGCATTCCATAGTTGTTGAATATGTTTCTTTCTGAGATGAAAAATTTTCTTTTTTTTTTCTTTTTTTTTAGTGTCAAAAAGCGCTATGTGATTATCAATTAATGAAGATATCACCAGGAACACGTTTTACATTATTAGAAACGACATCATACTTTGAGGCTTATCGACCAATTTTGCAAGCATTACAAAATATAAAAGATGATCAGATACCCCTTGAAAAATATTTACTTCAATGTGACACAAATGTACCCATACCACAGTATTTTGAAAAAAAATCAGATATCGATTTTCGACCTATACTAGTGAAAACTTCTGGAGAATATAGTGAATTCGATGGTACTTTAAGCGATATTAAAGAGTTATCAACATGGCCAAATGCGCAACAACTCGGCCTTGATCAAAGTCAATATACAGCATTACAATTAGCTTTAACAAAATCGGTAGCCCTCATTCAAGGTATTGTTCGCATAGATCTTTTTCAAGTAACATTAACATCATTCGTCAAGAAAAAGATCTTCAATATCATTCAGTCAATATTTTTAGCTAAGGAAAATTCATCCATTGACATAGAATTTATTAATCTTTAAGAGCCTATATCATGTAATTGCTCTTTAGAAGACTTACACAAAAAAAATTCTATTTCTAAACTGAATAGTGTCAAACGAGAAAAATACTATGTATCGATTTTGCTAACCATATAGTGGATAGACATGTGTGGAAGAGGATCGCTCACAAAGAAAAGCAATTGTCTATTGCATTCGTCAGCTTCTATGTTTATCGTATGCTTATCTTATTATTTTATTACTTAAAAAAAAGTAGAACTCATTGTATGATTGATCATTAAAAATAAAAATCTAGTGAAAATTTTCGTTAAATTATTATAGGTCCACCAGGATGTGGAAAAACTTTTCTTGGTGTTCGATTAGCTGAATTATTTTATCGAAATCGGGAGCGAATATCTGGTTGTGAACGACCGATTTTGATGATTTGTTATACAAATCATGCATTAGATCAATTTTTATCATCAATTATTCAAAAACTTTCTCTTACACCTGGTCAAATCGTACGAGTTGGTGGTCGTAGTTCACATCCTCAAATCGAACCATTTTTAATTCAAAAGCTACGTCAAAAAAAGCCAGATGCTCGTTCAAAAAATGAATTATTGGCAACTAAATACGATATACTAGCTACCATAAAAAGACAAATTAATGATTGCAATTTGAAATACTATCGATGTTGTCAACAACTACTTGACATTGATCAACTCTTATGTGTTATGGATCGAAGTCAATTTTTAACATTATTAGATCCAATTCTATCAGAGTTGGATATTTATCAAGGGCATTGGAATACCAGCAAAGGCGGACTATATTGCTGTGGATCATCAAAATCAAAAGCAAGCGATAATGATGATTCCGATGATAGTCAATCTGAAAATGAAAGTATCGCTGAACCTTTGTCGCCTTATGAAATTAATCAACGAATGAAAAATCGAATTAATTGTCATAAATTAAATAATTTATCAGATGATGATCAAAAACTAATTAAAGAACTTTTTATTAAATGGTTAGATGCAACGCCATTACAAATAATTAAGCACGAAATGAACATAGCAAATGAAGGTATAATTTATGATTTAGAATGACGATTGCTCGTTCAAGCATTTTAAAGATGGATATCTAAATAACGTATATAATTAAACCATGTTAAATTTTATAAGACATTTCTTTAGTTTGAGAGTTTAAACTTGTAAAAGAGTGAGTTGGTTGCCATTGTTTTTTTTCAGACAGACACCACTACTATATTATCTAGTTTCGATCTTGAGAACTACTTCAATGGTTTCTTAGAGAAGCTGCTTTTGAGTAGTTATTAAAAGAAGAAATTTAAAGATTATATTAATTCTTTACAGAAAGATTTATTTGAGAAAGCGATCATTTCATCGAGATTTCAATTATAGATTCGAGTGTTTCTATTCTGAATTATTGATAATTCTAAAAAGAAAATCGGCTCATAGAACTGATAATTGTTCCGGATCTAGTTTTTATGAATCTTATTGAAAGCATGCTTATCTGCTCTTATTAAAATAATAAAGCAATATATTTTGAAGAACTTTCAATATTATTTATTTTCTTTCCTCATTCTATGAGGAATCGCAGGACAATTGTTTCTAATGGCAGTTTCTCATGAGTGTGTCTTGTGAAAACTGATAATCGAAAACGATGAAATAGTTGCAATATAATTAGGAAAAGAAAAATCTTCAAGCGTTGGATGAGTGATTAAAATTTATTTATTTTATTTAATAATTTCTAACTCGGTTCAATTGATTAAACTGGAATATATATTCTTAATCAGGAAGTACCCGAAAAAGAATCTTTGCTAGCATATTTCAATTTTTTTTGAAGCTCATAATCAAAGCGAACGTATTCTTTTCTAATCCATACTACTTTTAATAGATGATGATGGTCAAAATGAATTTCAAGAACAACGGAAAAGAAAGAAAAATAAAAATAAAGACAAAGCAGCAGCACTTCTAAAAGGTATATTTGAGTTTATTAAGTTAAAAAATAACTGATCGATTGCTATTTTTTAGAAGTGCTAAATGATCCGATTCTAACAACAAAACCAACAAATAATACAGCCACTGCTGATGAAAATCCAGTGAATTTAGAAGAAAATGAAGAAGAAATGCGTCGATTAGAAAACATCGATAACTCATTTATACCATTTTCAATGTCGAATCAAATTGATGAGAAACAATATCAAGAAATTGATACTCAACAACTCGAATATATGGAACGTTTATTAAATAATCGAGCAGCCATATTATCGGATGATATAGTCCTGAGTTTTAGAGATTTATGGGCAAAATCAATAAATAAAGAGCAACGGCAAGATCTGTATCGCTATTGGCTTTCGAAATATGTTCAACAACTTACAGGTTTAACAGGAATAATTTTCTTTATAAAATACGAATCAGAAAAATATCTAGCAGAAGTATCCATTTTTATTGCTGATTCTTTTAATCATTGCATATTCATACAATACAACATGGAGCATAAGAAAAATAAGAAATGTTTTGTATGTAGCATTCATAGATTTCAGTCGTCAGAAATATATTTCTTTACACAAATACTGTCTCGTATTTTTTTTTTATAAATTTCTATTTTTTTCCTAGAACAATGGTTTCGTTTAAATGAGCAATACGATGAAAATCATAAATCAATGCAAGAATTATGGCTAGCTAACGATCAATTATACATGGACCAAGCATTTATGTAATGAAATTTAGTAAATCCTATTGTCTACTCTTTTGTTTACTTAAGAATTGCTATGACAACACATTGTGCCTCACGGTATCAAAAAGTATTGAAGCAAATAGCTCCTCGCATTTGTATCGTAGAAGAAGCAGCTGAAGTAAATTTTAAAAAAACACTGCTTATCAATAAATTGAAAATATTATTCCTTTTCAGGTATTTGAATCACATATTGTTACAGCAATTGGAGAACGAATTGAACATTTAATTCTTATTGGTGATCATGTACAACTTCGTCCATCGCCAAATGTTTATACATTAGCAAAACATTTCAATCTTGATGTATCCTTATTTGAACGATTAATTAAAAATCAAATGCCATCTGTTCAATTGTGTGTTCAACATCGTTCAATTCCAATTATTTCTAGTTTAACACATCATTTTTATGACATACCAATACTCAATCATGAATCAGTACTTAGTCGTTCGCCCATTATTGGGGTAGCTCATCCACTTTACTTTATTGCTCATAGAAATTTCGAAGAAAATGTTGCCGATGGCCAATCAAAAAGAAACTCCTATGAAAGTAATTATGTTTTACAATTAGCTGATTATTTAATTCAGCAAGGATATGAAAAAAGAGATATAACTATTTTAACAACATACATGGGTCAACGGCAACAAATTCAAAAAGCAATGAACCAATTAAAACATCTTAAAGGCATTCATGTTACCGTGAGTAGTTCTATCAAATACGTATCGATATTGTAATTATTTAAGATTTTTAAAATTCTTATATATATTTAGGTCGTCGATAATTTTCAAGGAGAAGAAAATCGAATTATTCTATTGAGTCTGGTAAGAAGTAATGCTGACCAACGTCTTGGATATATTGGTGTTGATAATCGTATATGTGTTGCATTATCGCGTGCGCAAAATGGATTCTATGTTATAGGAAATTTTCATTTACTTGCTGAACATAGTGAAACATGGAAAATTATAATAGATAAAATGAAACTACTAAAACTCATTGGATCAGGTTTGTATATTTTCTAAATTTCGAGAGCTATGGATTCAAATTTAAAGTTTCATCCAACAGTATGTGGCACCCTCTATATATTAGAGTGAGTGAACGATCTAGGTTTCAGCTATTTATTGACTAGTTTCTGAAAAAAGCCAGCGTAATGTTCCGTTTGTTTTCTTGTCAGTTCTCCATTTAGAGAGCTACGAGTTTACAATGAGATAGATCAAGATCCAAAAAAATAACAAAACTTCTACTTACACAGTTTCCCAATATCTTATATTTAAAGATTGTCATCTGTGAATTTTAGGTCTTCCAATAAATTGTCCGAACCATCCTGATAATCAATCAATATGTACGCATCCAAATGATTTTCTTAAACGACCTCTTGGTGGTTGTGGACTTCAATGTGAAGTTCGCCTTGAATGTGGTCACCAATGTCCATTGACGTGTCATAATACGTCACATAATAAAATAATTTGTCAAAAGGCTTGCTTAAAAAAATACGATGATTGTGAACATGTATGCCAACGAAAATGCCATTTAACAACTGCATGTTTACCCTGTGATGAAACAATTCAAATGAAAATGCCTCATTGTGAACATATTAGTGATTTAGTATGTTTTATGCGTAAAAATAATCAACTTGAATGTGGTGTGCCTATGCCGTATACATGTCCTAGTGGACATCAAGTTCAAATACGATGTTGTGACTTAAGAAATCAACAATTAAAAGATCGTCTATGTACACATCCATGTCGCTTTACTCTCGTAAGAGATTTTATTCGTTTTTTTCTCGTTTATAATCAATTTGCATTACCGTTTAGGAATGTGGACATATTTGTAAAGGTACATGTTCGACATGTTTTCAAGGGCGATTTCATCAACAATGTGATCAGCAAGAACTTATTGTTTATATATGTGGTCATAGTCGTCACCAGATTTGCCATGAAATCGGACCACCTTGTCAAGAAAAATACATAAAACTTTGTGATCATCAAGATGAACCAACGGTACCTCGCTATCTTAATGGATGTCTTGTCTATGAATGTAATCGATACTGTCGGAACAGATGCAGACATTTGCGTTGTACGCAACGATGTAAAATGGAATGTGATCGTAAGCCATGTCATGAAAAATGTGGACGACGCTTTGAATGCGAACATTATTGCAATGGAATTTGTGGAGAACCTTGTATTGATTGTTTACCTTGCCGTGTACATACTTTACCAAGAGAAATTCAAAAGGCAATTCATCAGAAAAATATTAGAAATGCTACTTTTGTTCAACTTGAATGTGGTCATCTCTTTGAAACAAAAATTCTTGATAAACTTGTTGACAATTTTGAAGAACAGTAAGTTTATTAAATAAATTCTTGTCTTAACTTAGTCGAATCATTTATTTTATTTTTTTCTCTTGCTAATTAAAGAACGTTTTTACCAAATGGCTTTATGTATATTGATTATCCTCGATGTCCTGAATGCCAATGTCCATTGCTACGATGTAAACGTTATTCACGTCTTATAAAGAAAATTCACAATAAAATTGGCAGTGGCTGTATTTCTCGAAAAAGTCTTTCTGATTCATTAACAAACAATGCTATGATCAAGTTACATCTGTTAATTGCATCGACTCAGTTGCCTGAGCACATAGAAAAAATTATACGAAAAAATCTTGACAATGATCGTCAGAAGATATTTGGCACTTTATTCGTGCATGTTTTGAATCTTTTTAGTGAACTCGATGATAATGTCTCTGATGAACGTAGTAAAATGTTAACGGCTATGCATGAACATATTAAAAAGAATGATTCATTATTTCTTACTCGCCAACAATGGTCAGATATTGAATATGAATACAATCGATTATTATTTATTAGTTCTATGAGAAAATTCGATCTGAAAGCATCTGACATGGAAACATTAAATGATATTCTTTTTGGACCGAATCCATTCAGTCAAATTGCACGCCAGACATGCCAAAGTTTATTGAATCCAGATAGTGAAGAGAGTGATAAATGGAAATCGATTCTTCCTGATGAAAAAACATGGGTTGATTTTGAACGAGATCAACTTATATGTGATAGAAAAATGGCGATGTGTCCGCAAGGTAAAATGATTTATCGAAAAAGAATTAAAAGCACACGGTTTATATAAGACTAATAACAGAGATTCCTTTTCCGGCAGTGTTTGTGTCTCATAAGTCCATACGTATGTACAAAATCAATTCTTCTGATTTTATTTTTTTTATAGGAATGCATATCATTTGGAGAAAGAGCATCGATGAACAACAATCAAATTGTCCTGTATGTAGTATGGAAAAAGAATCTACAATCAGCATTGGCAGAGGTGCTAGAAGAGCAAATAATCCGCGCGGTCGATTTCTTCGACCATGATCATAACTCATTGTGATACCAATTGAATCTTAACAAGTTTAAATAGGTAATAAATAAAAACTTAACTTCTGCGTTTGAAATAAATACATGTACTTCATCATGAAAATGTTCAATTATAATTTTTTTATTCTGATTTCATATTCATTGAATAATAAATATATATGTATCAATCAGCTACTGATGGAAAAATATACTTTTATATCCTGTTGTGTTAGTAATTTGAAAAAACGAAATAAGCTTTTATTCAAAAAAAACAATTATGAATAAGATTAGACTCAGCAGTAAAACAAAAGTGAAAGTAATTTTATTAGAAGGCAGTGACTCTGTAAACTTATGTACTCAACCTGGTGGCTATATGCACATGCGTTTAGGTAGCGATTTCCAATTTAATAATGAACAATGAATACAGAAAAAATTCTTTCGAATCATTATCAGATTTAATAAAACTTGAAGAAAAAAATATTTTACAACTAAAAATAAATTTTAAAGAAGAAAGAAAAGATTTAAAAAATTATAATCAAGATTTTCAATATAAATATCTTCAGTTAAGAATCGATGCAAGAAACAATTGTATTTCTAATAAATAGTTGGAAGACTAATGAATAGGCCAATGGTCGTCTGATATTCTGACAGATATACAACAATTGTGGATTTAGAATTATTTTGATTTCAAAATATATCAGCTGGATCTAATATTAGAAGAGCAACGTGAAGTTCTTCTTTTTTAGAATATTTTTCTGTTAGTGTCATTGTACTTTAATTATATAATATCATATTTCTTTACCGTTATTTGACGGTAATGAATTGAAAGTAGGGATCTGTATAGTCTCGATACCGGGATCAATATTTTGAAATTTGATTCCGGCAATTTATTTTTATCAAGTATTGGGCTAGGCATTCTGATATCTATTACTTATTTTATGATCACAGATCTAAACAACAGTAATATCTTTTTAAAAGATTTCCATAAAATTTTCTTTATTTTGATCTCAAGAATCGAGAGTTTGCAACAAATTCGCTTTTTTTTACTGTATAATTCAAACTATATTTGTCGTAGACTATTCTAAGGTTTACATTTGTACTACTTCAATCTTGAATCAGGGGAAGAGATTGTTATCTCAATAAAGAAATAAAAGCAGAGTTATAGTGTGGTCATGAATGTGTTTCTATAGAAGATTGCATTTTATCGAAACTGATTTTTTAGTATTGAAGTGCGAATTTTGGGTTTCCATTGACGATTGTAGTACTTGTAACATCATTGTCTCAACATAGTTTAATAACATGAATTTGAATTCAATATTTATCTAGACAACTATGAAGATTTGAATAAAACAAAATTTCCCTTATTCACACTAGTCGACGATCTTGACTTTGATCTGTTCAGATTCTTGCTTTTCTTGATTGTCAGACAAGATTCTTTTGTCATTCCTACTGTACAAGATTCTTGCCTGAAAAAACAGATCTTGACTTTCTGGCAAGATTCTTGGGTTCTTGCATTTTTTGCACGATTCTTGTTTCTTATTGTTCTAGTGTGATTCTGGTTTCCTTGTCCTTCTGGTATGATTCTTGCAATGCAAATGAATCTGATTTATACAAGATTCATTTCGTTTCTATTATCTTTTTATTTCTACTTTCAAAAGAAAAATGCACAAAAAGTAAAAGATAGCTGTAATAAAATGTACAATCAGTTCATACCAGAAACATCATAAGAAGAGAAAACTGAACAAAGAAAAACTAGCAACAAAAATTTTTTTTTTAAATTTTCGACTTAAAAAAACGTTTACTATAGTTCGTCGTCGTCTTCATCCGTATCATCATGTAAAACTAATGTTTCTTAAATTGTGGTCGAAGTGATTTGTTTCAATGCAATTATTCCTTTGAATGATTACTTTTTTCATGTGTAATCGTCGTGGATACATGTCTTACTCAATTAGAAATGAATATATAACGTTCACACGTCTATATGTATAAGTATACATGCACAAAGATATCATGTGGTATTTTTGTTGAAGATTTGATAATAATTCTTGAAAAGAAAAGATAAATTTCAAAAAATCTTAAATATCTTGTCATTCTTACCTGATTCATATTGTTCAAATAAATCAGGCGGTTTTCTGTTTTTCTTGAATTACATGCAAGACATTTTTTTACTTCTCTTTCGAAAGGATTCTCGTCTGAATATTATGATTAAAACGAAACCTGTCTGGCAATCAAGAAAAACAAGAAGCTGGACAGATCGAATCCAAGATCGTCGACTAGTGCAGGATTGAACTAGTCTAAACATGTGTCTTAGATTGATCTACATCAAATATATAAATCTGATTCGAAACAATTTTCTGTATTTATTGTGTCTCAATAGACAACAAGTAGATGTAAGTTACAGTTCGTTTTACGCCAACAATAATGGTATTTCAAAATTAATATTCAACTAGAAAATGCTCACATCCCGATAATTGCTTTGATTCGAAAGATTTTTCATTTGAGATAAAATTGTAACTCTACGCAAGCTTTTTTATGTTCGTGATCTGTGCAGACCTCAAGATTTGTTCATAGCGGAGAAGTTTGTTGCTCAAGATAAGCGTTTACCCCGGTCGAAGAAAACGATCAGTAGGGCGTGGATGTGGGTGTAAGGAAAGGCGGACACGGGGATGTACACACACGCACACAACATGGCAACTGCCGACGTGAGGAACGGCGAACATAGCTACGCATCTTCACACACACACACAAGCCAATTTATAAATTTTTGTATTTTATAAAAACTAAATATTTTTCTGACGGTGGCGTGAAAATATGAAAGTGGGTTTTTTTGCATTTATATTCGAAGTCAAATTAGGCAGCTACTCATAGATTTCGTAAAATACTCTTCAGGTTTCATTTCAAAACGTGAGCATAAAGTAGAAACACTTGCAGAACTTCATTTCTTATATCATTAATTGTTTCACTGCTAATCATATTCCACATCGAACAAAATATTTCCAATAAACAGTAGTCATACCAAATCGAAAGGGTTGAAGTACTTAAGATTATCAAAAACAACGTACTGCACTGTAAGTAGTGGCGTAACCAAGAGAGGGGCTGGGGGTGGCGGGGGGGGGGGGGGGGGGGGGGGGGGGGGGGGGGGGGGGGGGGGGGGG